CGTTTAGCCATAAAAGCTCTCTATTGTTGTTGCCTGAACACCAAAATGCTGGCTTAATGTTGTGTGGAATGCAAATTTGCTTTCTGCAACATATTTGCTCTAAAATGAGGTGTTTAAAATATTCTTCAGCATAGTTATACAACACCTTATAGGACAAATTTTTAACTGTTGCATAAACGTTTATACAACTATTTTATACGGCATATTTGCACGTTAGTCAAAATGATTGTGTTGTGGCATCCATGGTAACGTTTATAAAACAAACCCGAGCCTTGTTGTTTTGCTGTGCAAATTTACTACTTTAGCCAACAAATTGCTCCCAACGGAAGCACTTATACAACTATTGTTTAGTAACTGCTAAATATGTTGGTATACAACTTCACCATAACCTAGCTTTCTGCTGTCATATTTTAGTTAAAATGCCATAACCAATGTTTTAAGACAAACAACGCATGCATATTGGTTCAAAATGTTTTATCAACTGTTCAAATAGAAGATATAGATCTGGTACTAATTCTGGGTGAATCATTCGACTCTGTCGGTATTTCATTTCAGACATTTGTCAAATTGTTGTATAACACCTGCAGGCAACACCATAATATTCTAATAACCTAAAGACAACATGGATGATGCCATGATTATACACAACCACCCGCCATATTGGGCAAACATTTATTCCTCTATTTGATATTAAATAATTATGTTTCAGTTCGAAAGTACAGATATAAAGTGATAAACATTAGTGTAATTGTGTCTAAATATAGGATTTGTGGAAGATTAAACGCAGATAAGTTCAGTTTTCCATCTTAAAAATCTAGACATACTTTTGATCATTATCAAAATATGAATCAAATACGAAGCCCGTAGAATTTGCGTAACTAGTTTGCACGATAATCACAATAAAATTTTCTGCGCAAGTAATTCAATAGCCCTATATCATAGTGTAGAAGTTTATCATATACCTGTGTATGAAATTCACAATGGCCGATATGTAAGTAAACAAGATGACTGTACTGTGTTAGTTATATATTCTTGTGTATAGTTGTATAGTTGACAAAAACTGAATCTTGCACTGACGCAAATGTCCTATAGCGGCTGCAAGAGGCTTACACTTTTGTTGTATAACTGTTACCTGCAGCCCTTATACAACCTCTCAAATGACTGAAGTGTCCTATTAGGTGTGCCCATTCCGCTTGTATAGCTGTTCTAAGAGGGTTTTGCCAATGTTCTTACAGTATACAATGCTGTGTAAGGAATACTGTATAATCATTCTTGCAACTCTAATAGGAGTGATAATTGTTAGTTGGGACTTCCTAGATAATGTTATCTGCCATACTGGATTAGACTTTTATCCAAATAAGAAACCACTCATAATTGATTATGAAGAATTTTATGCAAATTGACTCGTTCATCATCAATACATAGTAATCAGGTATGTTTTAGGTAGAACACCGTTAATCCAGTAGTTGTAGTCATTTTCTAAGTCACTTGAATTTGACTGACCGGTCGGAACAGGTGTCGAAACTTAACTCATAATTTGTTGTAATAGTTATTTATCTATCCAGAGCGTAAAGGGGGCATTTATGGTCGACATCGTGAACTCAGCCCAAACCATGAAGATCCTCGGGCTCAACACACAAAGGGACATAAACACTTATTACATACGAGATAATTAATTGTATCAATTTTTAGAGGGCAAAATAGAAATTATTTCATTTCTATGTAGTCTTCGTGTGGTTACGCTGGAACATTTTCTCTCGAATCGACGAAAAAGTATAAAGTCGGCCAGGTAAATTTAACGTTTTCCAAGGACCGACCATACGTGAGTCTTGTCGCTAAAAAGTGACAAAAAATAGCAAAAATCCACAGGTTTGATCGACGATTAAATGCTTCCGTGTTGTCAGAATACCAGATGCCATGATCATAACATGATAGAATAACGTTCTTTGGACTATGCCAAGCCTGTATAGTATAGTTTTGTTCTCTGGCGATTTTCGAAATATTGATTCTTATTGGAGATGCTGGTCCCAAATGAGCACCATTGGAAATAGAAATATATGCATCTTTCAACATCCAGAAACGAGAAAACAAACTGAACAGAATTATAATAATAATACTAATAATAAATGGCCTTTATTTTACCTGGCGTGTTACATCAGCACAAGCTGTTTTTCAGAACCAACCAGGGCTAAAAAAGAATTCAAGTACATGCAAATACAAAAAAAAATACACAGAAAATAAGAAAATTTAAAGCAGAAAATTTTTTTTACAGAATCGTAGCCTATGCATGGTATAATGATCAAAAGAGAAATGTACATCAACAGAATACGTAGCAGAATCAAAAACCATGCTTAGAAGTAACTTTAAAAAAAGAAAATATTAGGTATATGGCGGAAGAATAAAAATTAAAAGTAAACACTAACAAATTCGTAAACACAAACAAATGAAAAGGGACAAGTGATCAAAGACAAAGAGCCTAACTTTTCTTTTAAAGCTGGACACAGAGTTTTCAAAGCTTGAGGTACTTTATTGTAGAAATCGGGCGCCACATATGAAAAGCTCTTTCTGAATTGGGTTGTTCGGTGGCGAGGCATGTATATCCTACAAAACGCAGGTTCGCTGAGTGATGATCACATCTCATGGTAAGCTTGTTCTTCAAATAAAGAGGCATTTTATTTATCAGAATTCTGTGGACCAATGATAATAGATGCAGTATCCACCTTTGTCGCATAGTAAGCCATTGAATATTTTTAATATGATCCCGCCTTGAATACCTAAACTGAATCGTATGCAGCTGTTTTGCACTTTTTGAAGTCTGTATGCCTCGCTCTGTATTAGACATGGACCATAGACAAGGTCCCCGTATTCAAGTTTACTTAGGATAAGGAAGTCGCACAGCTTAACCTTGGTCTGCTTGGACAATACATTTTTATAGCTATAAATTGACTTCAACTTAGCATAGGAACCCTGTACAGCTTTGGTGACATGATCATGGAAGCACTGGTTCTCATCAAATGTGATGCCCAAGTTGCGAACCGATATGTCTTGTGGCAAAGTTCATCACCTCCAATACACAGCTTTATTAATTCACTATTGAATTTGCTGAATTTAGATTTATTAGTTATGATAGCCGACTTTGTAGAGTTTATTCATAAGCCATGTTTGTTATACCACACACATATACTATTTAAATCCTCAGACAGCATCTCATTCGCTTCAGTGTACATAGCAGGGTTGTAAGATAGATAAATCTGTGTATCATCGGTGTAGGTATGTAATTTGCAGTATTTATTGACTTGATCTAAGTCCGCTATATAAAGAGAAAACAGAATAGGTCCAAGAATAGACCGCTGTGGTACACCTTTGGAGATAATACCCTCCTGTGATAAGATGTCACCGATTTTTACCTGCTGAATGCGTTCATGAAAATAATTGCGAAACCAATTAATCGAACTATCGGAGAAGCCCAGATAATGAAATTTTGCAAAAAGTAGTTCATGGTTGAGGCAATCAAAGGCCTTACTTACTTAGATCTATCATGACAGCAGTAGTAACTTTAGAATTATCTATTGCCCCTATGAAGTCGTCACAGACATCGAGCAGAGTTGTTACGGTGATGTGGTTTTTTCGAAACCCCGACTGCGTAGATGGAATTGCTCATATACAATTTTTTCTAATACTTTTGATAACACTGGAAGGATACTAATTGGTCTATAATCATCAGGTCCTTGCGGAGCATCAATTTTAGCAAGAGGCCTAACGCATGCCGCTTTCCAAATTTTAGGAACTAACCCTTTTTCAAGCGAATAGTTAATTATACGAGTAATCGCTTTAGAACAAAAAGGAAACACTAGAGCTAACATACTTATATTCAAATCATCTAGTCCAACCGTCCGAGATTTTATTTTATTGACAATCTGTAATATTTTATCCTCCGTGACCGGTTTTAACTGAAACAAGTTGTCTATAGATGGCAAAACATTGCTATTGTAGTGATGAATAATACTGGTGCTCACACAATTATCTGGAATGGAGTTTAGGGAATATTTGTTCACTAAATCAGGTTGCAAAGTGCATTCTAAAGTATCTTTAACAGGATTATGTACACCTAGTTGTTTGATGGTTCACCACCTATCACAGGAACTTCTATTTTCTTTAAGCTGCATTTCTATATAGGCTTTTTTTCTCTTCTTATGGAAGCTGTTACAAAATTTCTGAGTTGTTTATAATAAACCCATTTGACATTGATCAAATCTGCAGAAAGAGCATCCCTTACCCCTTTTTTATATTTCATATATGCATTGTTTCACAATCTCATCATGAACTTAATGTTTTGGGTGATCCAAGGATAGCGTGGCTTTGTTACTTTTACTGTTTTGATGGGCGCGCATATGTCTAGCAAAATATTAATCAAATCATACAAGTAGCTTAGCTTGGATTCAAGATCTTCGAAGTTGATAACTCCTAACCAGTACATTGATGAAGCTACCTCAGGAAGTAAGTTGGTATCTAAATTCCTTGAATTGCGGATACGTATATATGTTTGTCTGTAAAAGCTGGCTGGAAAATCTGTACAAAAGTATACCAAATAATGATCCGTGAAAGGTAGATTTACAGCTCCGGTTTTCGTGATGTTTAAGTTTTTATTTGGTTTTTTCTACGAATACCACATCTATCCGTCTAATTGGGTCTAATCGCACTGGGTTATATAAAAACATAGGTCAATGTAAGTCCAACGCCTCCTTGAACAATGGCGCTGGTACGTCTGATCCTTATATGTACTGTGCTCTCTATGGATGACATTTGTTTCTTGTCTGTGATTCTCCTGCATACCCACTCCTGTCAGAACAGTCAACTGTGTCATGAAAAAATGATGTAACCTGCGTGTAGCTGTGTTGTTTTTATGGTAGCTCCTAATATGTGGTGTTTATGTTTTGTGTAATTAAATCAAAAATTATGAATTTGCATCGGTGATTTGCTTTTAAATTTTGGTTTGCATAATGGATTGTCTAGAGAAAATATATCCCCCTGAAGTATATTGCATGCTTTATTATGCAAATATATGCCATGTGTGCAAAACTCCCAGTAAGGACTTGAAGAGGTGCTCAAGATGTAAAATGCTCAGCTACTGCAGCAAAAAACATCAACTACTCGACTGGCCGATCCACAAGCAGCTTTGTAAGGTGATCGTGGACTCTAATAAGATTCTACTTCAGAATTGTCAGAAAGTGAACATTGCTTTGAACAATATAAGAAACCTACAACACTTCCGAGGTATTCTGTGGACTAGATTTCTTGGAAGAAAATTAGAGCGATATGAGAAGAACATGCTACAGTTTCCTAAAATATGTGCTGTGTGCAACAAAGATAATATAACCATTACATGTGAGAATTGTTGGAATGTTAGTTATTGCACTAAGGAACATCAAAAACAACACAGAAACAAACATGACAGATACTGTACTCAGTTAAAATTAAGTATGGACCTGGACATCAAATATTTAGATTACCATTTAGATAGAGATACAGAGAAGTTGTTTCAGGAACAAAACCCTTGGATCATTGGTCATTATGAATTTTGTATACCAGATAACATTCAACATTTTCCTTCTGATTTAAAATCTGTAATAGATTGCTTCAATGTAAAATATGAATCTGTAGAGGGATTAAAGGATATCTATAAATTGTTCGAGTTAGACACAATATGTGTAGCCTCCCTGATTTTATATTGTTTAGAAATATTGGGTGTAATTACTGACAGATCATTTATCAGTTCTAAACTAACAGTTCATTTAGTAGGTGCAGATTTTACAGAAGTGACATTTTATTGGGACTTGATTATTAAGTTTTACACAAAATGGCTCAAGAATATAACTGAGCTTAAATTTTACGTGATTGGTCCTGAAGTTAAGCCATATACTTTTAATGTTAATATAGCCTGCATTGAATTTATTGGGGATGTTTACCATAATGTGATAGAAAAAATTGATAAACCAGATGTGGTTGTATCATATAATAATGGTATTCATGAATATTATGGAGAAAGTATAGATACATGGAAAGGAAGTCTGAAAAGTTTGTTCAAGTATGATAATGTACCATTAATTTTAACAGCATATACAAAGCAGGAGATTGATAAAGATGTTGATATAGTTAAAAATGTTACTCAAGCAAAGGTACTGGTAGGACCTGATGAAAATCCTTTTAAAAGTTTAAAACCTGTTCGAAATCATGATGATGATGGTGATACAACTGTGTTTTATAAAAATTATTATTATTGTGTGCTGAAATCATTTGACAGATAGTTTTTGTAAACTAATTAATAATTTAAATGTTAATAATACCCATTGTTTTATATTAAAGCAAATATTTTATAAAATATATTTTATTAATAGTAGCAGGATCAGGTCTATTTAGGGGGAGCTGCACTGGAACCCTCTCAAGAAGGGGGCCTCACAACCTACTTCTAGAGACTGGAGTATGAAAAAATTTTGTTTCAAGGATCATGACTGGCAGCAAAGTAAGGCCCCAAGCACTACTCTGCTCTGGGGCCTCTTCAGCCATTAGCTTGGCCCAGAGTAAATAACTAATCAAGAATATGAAAAATAAAAATTAAAATATTCCCTAACATTTATGTACAATGACATTCTCCATTATTTTTCTTCAGTCCTATAAGTTTATTATAACTGCTATGTTATACTAGTATGTATGTTATGTCTAAGAATGATATCCACATACAAGGATATTTTCCTTTTGAGTTGTATACATTTGTTCACAATTTTTAATTGATGTGAATAAATTATTATTATAGTACTTATATATGAATATTTTTATTTTGTAGTCTTAGTAGAACTAACTTATGTTTTTGTATAAATCTGAAATCTTTAAGTGAGAATTTTCAGCATTATCCTAATTTCTTGATCAATATGGCAAATTATGGATAAATATGCAAAAGTATAATTTGTATAGTTCTCTTTGGATATAGGAAAAACATGGAATTTCATTCTGACAAATAATGTTAGTGTTAATTACCACAAATGGAAATAAGTTTTGGATTATAAGAAACATTTTTAAAAATTTAGTAAGAGCAGCACCAAGCTTATGTTTGTGCCTTCTCAGGAATGAGGCCCTCAGAATCCAGACATTGGCTCTTGAGGCACAAGAGTGGGAAAAAAGTATGTATCAAGAATAATTTCTAGCAGTAAAGCACACTGCTTTGATCCATTTCAGCCATGGGCTTACCGTGGGTTAGAAACAAATGTGTACATAGAAATGTTACTCTCATGTTAGGTATTAGAACATATTTTGTATACTTGCTTTAATATAAGCTTGTGATATCTGTTTCATTATTTGTTATGTATGTATATAAATTAGCGTGTATGTATCAATAAATCATGCACAATTTGGTGGAAAAACGTATTCAGTTAGGTTTTACACTTGGCATATGAAATATTTGTTAAAAAAAATTTTTAGAAGTAGGTGTCAGGTTAGGACCCCCCTTTAGACTTTGGTTGTGATTAGATGTGGCAGAGTTACGTCAAGAGTACAATTTATTGAAACATTTTTAAATTCAGTTATAGTGCATCTCAGGTATTAGAATATTTTGTTAGTTTAAACTCAACCAATAGCTCGATATGAATTTTTGTTAGAATATTTTTTTATTGCTTGTAACCCATCTTTAAAAATACTGAAGTAACATGTTTTTGTATAACATTGGAGTAATGTACAACCTGATGTCTGACTTAGACACTCCGTATAGTGTAAGAGAATTGAGCATGGTCACTGTGCCAATTAATTGAAAAAGTTGGTTGTTACTGGCAACTTTTAAATGTTAAGATACTTATTTGTACTCTTCAGTTATTCTCTTTTAATTGCAGTTATAGAGGTGGGCCAGTTTTCGCGAATATCAAATAATGTCATTTTTTTAACTAGAAGATGAAAAACTCCGACATGATAATGATAATTTATCTTAAATTTATAAATGTAATGAGCACGACTTTGTTATACAGGCCCTAGATTTTTTCATAAAACTGTTTAACCTCCAAAATAACCACTAGCATGCTCTAGGCTAGTTCTATTTTGGACCAATTTTGCTGCCATGTCAGCTCAGCTGGGTATACAAATTACAATATATAACGTTTTGTGGAATGCTGGTGTAGCTAGGTCAACTGAATTCTAAACAGAGCAGGCTGCACCCATTTCACATTCAATGTTGACAGGCACTTCTTTCTGATGGACACCCAAAGTCCAGTTTTGCAGAAGGATGCTCCAAGAATACAGAAATGAAAGCACTGATTAGTAAATTATGAATGGCCAATTTGAACTACCAGAGAGATTGTGCGGAAAAACATTTAAATTTTCTACAAAACAATTTGCCATATCTGTTAGCTGTTTGCAGTAAGAAAAACCATGTACGTCCTTATCTGATTATGCACTGTTTTTGGTATTCACCATTTTTAAGAATTTGGGGAGAATCGTTACTTTTGAGACTGTACTATTTTTTTTTGAAGTTGCCTTTTGTTATTTTTCAATTAGATTCACAGTATATGTTCCCAAATGATGTGTTGCTGGAAAAGCTATGAGCATAAACTTAGTCCAGTTAATGTAGAGACAGCAATGAACTAATATGCAATTTTGTCTGCTGTCAAAAAGATTACAGCATATTCAAAGACACCTGTACAAGAAATTAGTAGGTGTCATAACTATGGATGCTTTACCATAGTTATGAAAAACTTCTCAATATGATGGCCTTTAAAAATTATATATACAAGTATACAATGCTAAAATTTATTGGATTAGGTTCCACTGATTGTGGCAATGAAATCAAATTTCAATGCCAGATGCATCTTGATGAATGTTTAATTTTTGTGACTGAAGCGGTCTGAAAGTATAAGTCACTGAAAAAGATACCATCTTAAAATAAGAGATGGATCTGGATTTTCTATCTTTTAGATGAACTGAATGCAAGCCAGTTTTAAAAAAATAAATTAAATGTTGAAAATCTTGAAAAGAAGGCTTTTATTTAAACAAAATTGTGCCATATAGTATGTCATGATGTGATCTATTTGCAGTTGCAGCATAACCCTTTATTTCTGGACACCCTGTATATCACAAGAAAATTAACCATAGTTCTGCAACAGTACAATTCGACTAGGTTTTGTAGTCTCTCTGCATATGGGACATACATGTTGATATTCCAAGGATTCATAGATGCAGCTCCAACAGAAAATGTGTCCACAAGGAGTGGTACTAGGTGATTTCAATTTCTGACCACACAAAAGACAGCCTTTATCACATATGTTTGCTTGTTCAATATCCTCAAATTCTGTTTCCTCTTTGATTGGTGAAAAAAGTCTTGAGATGAAATTGTACAAAACATAGAATAAGGATATGTTTCCTAAAAGTTTGAAGCTAGTTGTGTATGAATTGTCTTGCAGCCAGTCTCTTAAAAGTACCTGCAATATGAGAAACTCAGTATTAAAGTATAATTTCTTTTTTGAAGATATAATTAACATATTATGCACATTTTATTGCAATCGTTTTTCAAAGAAATGTTTCCATTTTTCAAAATTATCTAATAATGACCTTTACAATGTGCTCTGGTGAAGAATTATTACTGTATCATTACTATAACAAAATTTATTTATACTTACATATCTTAATCCTGTAAGTCTGTTAGAGATATTATAAAATGCTCCATCCATATAGAATAATGAATTGTGAATACTTCTTAATGTAACTTTCTCTTTTTTAAAAAAATCCAAACATACTATGAGGAATTCTTTGGCATCTTTTGTAATTGTGGTCGAGTTTTTGATCTTTTGTTTTGAATGACTCAAAAGTCGTTCTACCAAAGGATCACCACCAACATAAAGTATGAGCCACAATACCTGTAACTATAATAAAGCAAGTATAATTTAATTCTCAACAGCAAGGTTATATTTGAGGAACTTTGAAATTGCTAAATCTTGAAATATGGTGATCAGTCTAATTGTGGGGATAAGGATAACTAACAAATATAATATCTAAGATTTGTGGTTCTTACTGTTTTGGATGGTATTTTCCCATCACTGCCAACCCTTATTGTGCCAGTGTACTCTTCGCCAAGTGTTTGCAGATTTCCTAGGGTTGTCATACAATAATACCATACATTTGCTATTGTCGGTACACTTTTGCTCAATTTATAATAGTTCCTGGGACCAGTATGCTTTAAAATGGAATGTATGTCACTTTGAACTCCATTCAAGAATTCTTCGTCCTTTTGATGCAACCGAAGTATGTCTACTACTTTTGCGTTATATAATTTCATCTTGGTAAGTTTTATAATGTATCAAAATATTCTACTAGTCATATATATATTCTTAAATAATTGCATTCATTTTGAAAACTTTACAGAACACATAATTAACAGAAACACTGAAATTTATGTCAACGTTGACGTATTGGCTAATTTGTGATAGGAGCCTCTAATTCGGAGTAAGGCGAGTCTACATTTGCGAAACTAGAGATAACATATAGTCCAGGAATTGTATTTATTTTACTATTTTCAAAGATGACCTGGATATCAAACTGATGTTATTTGATGCGTTGTGTTTGGGAATTTTCAATAGGGTCGAAACAATGAAATCGAGAATCTTTCGCCCTTACATCATGTTTAATTTAAAAGCCATTTGGACTTATAATCGCATGTTTTTATTAGATACTCCATAAAAAAACGTGGTTGTGATTAATGCATTACAAGTCTTTGGTACAGTTCTTACACGATCGTGTTCGTTTTATAGGTTTCTTAATGAGATATTCAACCATGGACCTGTTTTTTGTTATAATTGGCGATTCTACCACTTATATGACTTTTGTCAGATCTTATACAAGCTCAAGACAAAGAGTAATTTTGTGACGTCATACACGAAATATATGGCTAACACAGCATGACGCAACTAAGAGGAATATAATGACATATGTTAACTCGGTGTCTGTTTAGAACAAAATTGAGCGTGAGGTATGTATTTTATTTTTATTTTATTCATTACAACACCCTACAGTAAATACCAATTACAGGATGAGGAAACACAGAACATAACATAGATATAAAAGACAATAATAAGTAATAGACTACAAAGTGTAAAAGATACATGCTGGTTACTTAATGGTATTTTTTAAGTCTGCAATTCTGCAGTTAAATATATCAATCCGGTTACTTGCAGAATTGTAATTCCTACACATCACATGCAAAGGGGAATAATGTAAATAATCTGTCCGTGCCGCAGGTAGATAGAACGTAACGTTTTGTCGGGATGTCAGCCTAGGTACGTTAAATGATAACTGACCCAAGAAAGCTAAATCATCACTAGCATTATTATATAATATATAATTTAAACAGAAAAATCACTGACTGGCAAGTGCGCCTTGCTTCAAGACTGCTGATTAGATGTTTTTCAAGTAAGGTATCATGAGCTATACCTATGGGCGGGTAAACGCCATCCACTTTCAGTGACAAATATTTTAAGAAACGTCTTTGAACACATTCAAGCCTACTTTATTGTTTAACAAGTAATTTATGGAGACCAGCCTAAGCACTATAGTGGTAATCAGATGTTGGAAATATCAAACAGAGTGGTCTCTCTCCTCCATGAGATGGAGTTGTCAATAACCCGTTAGTTACTTTTTTTAAATAGATTTAAAGTATCGATAGAAAGGCTGGAACTAAGGCGCAACAGCGCTTAGTACCTGCACCAATTTGATATTATCAACGACAATCGCACCAACGCGTCCGCGCTGGCCGTACGCGCTGTAAAGTAGGTACATACAAAAAGTACATTAAGTAATGTGGATTCCAAACCACTTGATGTTGCTTCCTTCCATTTTCCAGGTGTTCTATTTCTATAGAATCATTATCCACATCGGCTTGAAACTAAACCGGGCGATCAATCTTAAATGATCGTGAATGGGGAACTTAACATAGCGGCCAAGATATTGAGCAGTGGAGACACAACATCGTCATATTCAATCATACAACCGTCATGTTCATAGCAACTGACTTACTTATTAAAGCGTAGTTAATGACGCGGTCGCGCTTTTAGGGCCCGTATAACAAAGTCACTAAGGGCGGTATCGTCAGTCGTTCCTACAATTGTAGGACGCCTTTGAGGCCTCTTTGATTTTCATAGTATTTTTTCTCCTTCAGGAAGGCTGGAATATTTTTAGATTTCTACTGTTCCGTGTCAGCGTCAGTGTTCTCCTATTGTGAGGCTATATTTTCTTTTTGAATTGTACGAAAATTCAGGCTGTATAACAGATGATATAAATTAAAAGCATGAACAAGTTGATGCAAATAGATATTTGTGACATAACCTCAAAATAGAGCGCTGACACGGAATAGTAGAAATTTATTGTATGACGCGTTTATGGCCTCCTTGATTTTCACAGCTTTCTACTGGAGAACGCTGACGCTGACCCGGAACAGTATAAATCTAGAAATACCCTAGCCTTTCTGAAGGAAACTATCTTTGAAAATCAAGGAGGCCATAAAGGCGTCGTACAATATTGTAGGAACCACTGACGACACGGACCTTGGCCCTAAGACCTCGCTTTCCAATCGCAGGCTACCTGGGATTTTACTGTTAACTAAAAGATAACTCAAAACGCGTTTTTCAATGTGAAGTTTTTTGTGAAGCGGTAATATTATTAATCAATAATCGAAAGAGTAGTTATACCAAGACACTTCGTAGGATGACTTTAAAAGCAAACTTGCCGGATTAAATATTGATCGGAATGGTGTTATTGAGTAAACAACTGTATATGTTAAAAAAAAAACTATATGTAAAAAAAACGATAAAATTTCATCCTTTTGAATAAGTAGACTAGTGTGGAAAAAGTTCATTCCACGCATGCTGCAAAATCTATATATAATGTCAAAAAAACCGACATAATGTCACTTTTTAATTTACGTAAAACCCTTGCCGAGTATCAAAATTCGTGAGATTTGACTACTTTTTATAACATATATCAATATGCGACGTAACAAAAAAATTGAGGCCAGCTCTTAGATTATCACTGATTTGAACAGAAACACCGCTCTTGGTTTGGTGCCTTGCTCATAGATGACTCGACATCTCCCGAGGTCCCGTTGCCAAACTGGTATAAGATGTTTAGAAAATGCTACATTGCTACATTTATGCTGAGTAGAATGGAGTACACTTCTTTTCACGGTGGTTACATTACAATGGCATACGACATAAGTAAAGAACTCAAGACTCTTTCATTAAACCGCAATTCCTAACCTTTTTTTGTCTTGACAGTGACATGAGCCAGCGATGACACCAGATGCAAACACTGAGCGTCACGAAACTCACATAACATGATAGTTTTGATGCAAAAGGCAACGCTGCTGCATCTACAATTATGGGTTAATAATTGGCCAGAACTTGGAAAACGAACTTACAGTCCTCTGATAGTTAATTTCCAAGTTATAGTGACTCAACTCGAGAGTTAAACTGTGACTGAAAAATCGGGCCTAAAACGAATAGTATACGTTCAGTTCATTTCAATCCAAGATCTCCAGATCATCAGGTCGGACAAGTAATAATATGTCTATGGTTACTCAAAAGTTAAATCCTATTAACTAGGACATCACTTTTGTAGACATATTGTAATGAAAACATCATTTACTGTCCAGTCTACTTTTTCACTTTTACCCTGCATTATAACACTTACACGAATTTATGACAATTTATAACCAACTGGGACTAACTCCTTCCACCACCTCGACGAACGTCGAGTATGTATCCCCCTGTCGACGCGTCGAGAAAAGTTCCCACGCTTTCAGGTGAAGTCGTGAGCTTCCATGGAAGTAGTCTAGATGGCAGTAGGTACCTTCAGACGAACCTCTATTATTCTTGAATCTCGGACTACCCCTTTTTTAAACTGCGTCGCATTGGCTCACATCAGTCGCATAACTGGATGCCTAAGTGTCGACTCTGCAAGGCGACTCCTCGCCGCTCAAGGTTATACGAGGGCGTTACAATACAGACATTTCTTAGTGCTATTAATATGGTTGATTTGGTGTCAAGTGTTTTTTCCCATTTTCTCATCTCTATCGTTCGCGGAAACCTAGTATTCACGCTTTGATTTAATCTAGCGACCCGAGAAGTGTCTAGAGTGTGGTGTAGCGGATAATATCCTTACATCGGAGCGAGGCTTTTGTGTATTCAGTTTTCCAGAATTGGTAGTGGGATGGATAACAAGCTATTAGTTTCCTGATCAAAGCGGCTTAATACCGCCGACCTCAATGAAGAGCAGCTTTTGATGCAATCCAGAGGCATACCAAGAGAGAGAAATAGGACTAGTGATATTGGGTTACCGAAGTTACTCAATACGTGCTCTAAGATGCTATCACATAAAAGCTATAAAGTTGGATGTTAGCGGTGATAGCACTATGACAATTGAAGCTGACTAAACATTAGAAACAGAAAAGCAATTCGACATCGCGCATCATCTGTGGCCAATGTCAAATGGTTGTGCAGTAAGCTTTTGTCCAACCGTTTGAAGATTGCTGTCAAAACGTAGCCCACCCTTTTATTTGAAAACTTGAGATGAAGGAGCTTTATTATCAAATATTTACAATCGGAAAAACATATTTTTAAATTCTTAGTTCATTTTATAAACAGCTAAATAAAAGCTTGTTTTTATAAATGTATTTTTTATTTGACTTGTTTTTTACTTTTCAGTATTTATGAGGTCTAATAACTGGTTTGGTAATTTTTATGTAACTTTCATATATTTTATTAATATATGACTCTCTATAAAACTTCTTACTTTATCTGTATTTCGGTATCATATAATGACATATCGATATTTGCGGCGATCGGTATATGGAATTTAGAATGATGATTGCTTATCGTGTTTCTCTCATTAAGCCATTTCATTTGATACCTATATTATAACGATGACTATGAAAACTATAAATCGTCGGAGGCTGCCTTATTGGATTTCGAATGATAACGAGTTGCCCTCTATATGATTCTCTCAGCCTAGATATCTTAGGGGTGACTATGAGAATTACAAACGCCATTTTAGGGCGGTCGCCATATTGGATTTAGAATGACATCACTACGCAAGCCCTTTCATTTGATACTCATTGTGTTTCACTCATCAAGACCTTTCATTTGATACCCATATCGTATGGGTTACTATGGAAACGATGAATCGTCAGTTTGTTGCGTCCGCCATATTCGATTCAACATGGCGGCAGTGAAGTGTGTACAAAATTTCAACTTGGGTGATTAAGCTTAACTGGTTCAAAATTTAGTTCGAAGATTGTCCCACACATACAACTAACATACTATCATTCTATCAAACAGGTGAAATTAAAATTAAAAGCTTGTACAAAATCACTTTATTTTCCGCAGATAATCTAACCACTTCAACAATAGTTGGTTGATAGATCGTTACAGAACAATTGTTTTTATAAAGTCATGAAGTAGAAAGGATGCACTCAAGCTCACATCGAATAAGCATTAAGTTAGATGTGTGAGAGAAATTACAAGTTCTCTAACAGCGGCAGTAGAAAGATATAAAAGCGAGCCAAAGTACATTACTTGAAGAACTGCAACGGATGATATTGTACCTGTTGAGACAAAGCTTTGGCTGTGTACTTTATTCACACCCTGCACAGTAGCATATTCCGCTATCCCATACAAATCCCCGCACGGCTATGGGTGTGCAGCGCTCATCGGCGAGGAGCCATGGTTCACAGAGCCAAGCCGACCCTAACTAGCGAGTCATCGATTTTGATGGAGCAGGATGACAAATGAGAGCGAGGGGTGGAACAAGTGGCACTTCACCCACGAGAACGCGCTGACGGAAGGCGACTTCCCGAGCGCGTCCATACAGGTTACGGGAACGAGAACTAGACGTCACAGACGACGGAATTCAGGCACAATGGGAAATAGAGATCCGTTGTGAGATAACGTTCAGTTAGAATTAGCAGAGAAGCGTGCCAAAGAATTGTTACAACGGTAAGGAAATGCCCTGTTGCTCTACTGTTAAACGGTTGCATGTTGTCAGTGAATAATTGTTGCGTATTACAGGCGGCATAATTGAAACAATCGGTTAGAGAGGGTTTTCTGTTATAATTTCCTTTGTGAACGCATTTGAAGGAAGTTGGTATGTCGTTTTAAACTGATTGAATATTGAAAGTACATAGGTAATAAGTTGTTGTCTGTTTTAAAGCTGTGGTGTTACTCCCACCGTAGCTACAATGGAACACCAGGGTAATTTGTTGCTGAGTAGATATAATAAGTTATGAATAATGTAACTCAATGAGCGAGTATATAATATCAAATTTATCTGAATATCATAATACTCTGATTGAAATGTTGATATGTTGAAGAGATTTGTGACAACATTCTATTATAATTCAATTGTGATCAGTATGGAACTCTATTAATATTAGAGGAATGTTTTGACGACAAGGGATGTCTTTTCGCACTTTTGGTTATCAAGGTATATTTGTTGCACATTATAGACGGAATGGATAACAATAAGAGGCAGTTGTTTTTTGTTACATTCTCGATGGATTGCAGTAATTATCGTATTTACCAAAACAAGGACTTAATACTTGGAGCTTCATAGCGACCAAGGACGACCACACACGGCTTGTGCGTGAACATTTGTTCGGTAAGCTCAAAGACACGTTTTTTAACTGTGTGTCTCCGTTTCGAAAACCTTGTCGTTACGTATGAGTGACCTTCAATCATATTTGTCAGAGTGACATCGGCGTAAAAATCAAGTTGTCCTGTTATCAATCTTCAATATGTAATTGTACAATGCCCGGAAATACGATCAATGGAGAAGGCCGATAGCTCGTGCTAAATTTATATTTCCAGGAAGAGAATGAAAACAGCTGTCACCTGTTACCCACTTCATGTGTACTGGAGAGAGTTGCAGGTGCGCTGAAGATTAGTCTGCGCAGTGTTGCGCCCATGGTACGGTGACTCGATCTGTTTACTATTTCATATGGCGTTGATGACGAAGCCGCCAAGAACGGTGACTACAACTATATCTAGGAATGTCTCGATGCTGCGCTATGATATGATTTTACTTCTCACGCCAATTGGTCAGGAAATATGTTACATGCCATGTAGGTACATCCCCGCAAAAATCATGTTCCTAATTTCTTTCTGTCGGTGCCTGCCCGCTAATCATCAGTCTCTCTATAACTTGGAAGGTACCGCTCGGGTGTTGATAGAATTTTGACAGAAGGATAACACTATACTAAGGATTAAAAATATTTGTGAGTGGTGGATGGCCTACGGGTAAAAAACGAACAAGAAAATCACTGAAACTGCGTTTTTCGTCGTTCTTGAGGTCCATTGACGTTTTTGGATTTGCTTTTGAGGGATAAAAAATTGATTTGAGGTTGTAGGGGCCGGGATAGGCTTTATCTTATTTGTCATTAGCATATTTATACGCTTCCAACCCCAGTAATACTAGACGCTTATTAGACATTCCGCACATAGATTTGTCCATACTAAAATTCAATACCGGCATCAAACAAAATGAAAATAGAAGGTGCAGAAAATTCTATATCGCAAAGGTGGGACTGAAGATTAATTGTATGAGCCTATTTGTCCGACATGATCCATTTAAGTGCTTTGATGTACAGGCTCAGAATTACCTAACACAATATTTTATGAACTGATAGAAGCGTTGCGTGGGAACTGACGATTCAATAATATGCTTGACGTCATGTTTTACTATGAAATATGGTTCATATGCATTTTCAATAATGCATATATTATTATTGACTAACGTCAAAATCCAGTTTGCAAAAACAATATAAGACAATGCAAGCAGGATACGGGATTTGACCACTGGTCAATTTTAATGAAAATTCTTATAGTGATAGCTCATGTTGTGCTGATCAAATGTTTCAATGGGCACAAAGCCCAGAAATGTTCTGTTGAAGATATAGGGCGTTTCAGTTTGGTGCCTTAGCCCATGTACATAGGTAAGGCTGTCTGCACTATTTTACGAAAACTAATTTGTCTTTATTGTAGACCTACCAATATACAAAATAAAATCACGTGAATACATACAGGGTGTCCTAACGAATATGGAAGGTAGTTTAATAGAAAACTATAAGATATTCCAAAACGATTTGCGCAACAAGATTAACATCTTATAGGTGTGTATTTCTAATTTTTTTGTAGGTATACAGGGTGCTGCACAATTTCATGGCACAACAAACATTTTGTTTTTAAATGAAACATCTTACATTTTATTATGCATAATCAGTTTAAACTTGATACCAGAAGAAACGCGACACTGATGGTGTGAAAAATATATGGAACGTTCAGTTTAAAATTTTTGAGAAAAACGTGTTGCGTTTTGCACAACCCTGATAGTTGGCGTACTTTCTCATTGCCTTTTCCAAATTTAGTGAAAAACTACGCAAAATGGCAAGGATAGGCATTCGCTCCATCAAATGATAAAATAACTAGGCGAATGACGATCAAAATCCTATAATGTAGTACATCACCCTTGTTTTATAAAGGCCTTTCCAAATATTGCTGTGCCACGAAATTGCTTAACACCCTGTATATTTCTAAGTTATTTTGGATACAAAGACACCGTTTTCGAATATCTCATAGAATTTTTCTATTAAACAACTTTCCTTTTTGCTGGAGTGTTCACATTTTTATTATATCGTTAAGTGCCCTGAGTATATTAAAGACGAGTTAGTGGTGCAGGTGGGCGTACCCACAGCGGCTAATGCACCAAACTTTAACACCCTATTTCTCCACTAGAAAGAATTTCTGGGCTTTGCGCCTATTGGAAGATGAACTATCACTATATGAATTTTCGTTAAAATTGGCCGGTGGTTAAATTTCATATGTTCTGTGCCTGGTTCTTTAAACATATACTCGTATGTGGTTTGATTCCTATGAACATGAAAACCAGAGTATACGTTTCAGGAGTTAGACTAACCAAAGGTTTTTAAAGATATATGAAATCGGTTGAATTCCATATATGCCATTAATTTGTATTTATAGGTAGACGAAATTCTTTGTATATGCTATACACGTCCGGAGCAGAAAACAATTTTTGGAATTTCTTTATCAAAACTGGGACGCAACTTGGGACCTGCTAACCATGCTTAGGGATCACTTAGAACTTTATGCTCGAGTATTTCACTTGATCACCATAATTGATCCATTTCATAGTTACTACACAAACGACAGCCATATTCGAATATGAAGCTCCTCGTGGAAATCACAAATGAAACTGAGGAATTCGAAGCGCGTCACTGGCACTGCGTCTGTCCCGATAATTCAAGAATAAAGTACCGAGTCCTGCTGAGTCCTTGATTCAAATAAACAATTTAACTGTTTTTATTAAAATGTATAATTGTTTTAATTGTATCTTCTCTACATACACTAAATCACCTAAGCTAATTATACAGATTAATAAAACAGATAATGTTTGCCCTTTTCAAGCAAATTAGTTTAACAGTATATTATTATTACCTTCAATTAAAATGGTTCCAGAAACTTCAGTTTAATTGAACCGTATAATTTAGTTACCTAGAATTATTAAAAAAAATAATGATGTAATGAACATTTTCCAGAATAACTGTTTAATTGAGCACGTTTTCTCAGTGTACCTTCTTGGTCTATACAGGCGGTTAAGCAGCTCGTGGGCAACCCATCACAGCGTTAGCACCTGACCCGTGATGCCACCTTCCGCTATCCAGGATGGACCTGAGCTCCTGCGCGAGTTGGCTGAGCTGTTTGACCAGCGACAGCGACAGTAGCGCCACGGCGGGGGCCGGCGAAAGAAGGGCCGCTGTCACTGAGGCCTCTGACCCTCAGGATGGCGGCATCACCAGCGTGGTCACGTCAGGTCCGGGACCTAGTCCTGCATCCACCAACTCATGTACTGACGATGTTGTGCCGCCTCCGAAGAATTGCTACAGGCTGGTGGTCTTAGGTAAGAAAAATTCACCGACAGATGTGGATTACGACATTTAACAGAAACCTTCAACTCTGACGTATAACTATATTTTTCGTATCATAGCTAAGAATATTCTCGACTAAGTTACATTTAAGCCTAAATACCAGTCCACCGCGGATGAGGAGCTTAAATAAACTTTGTTAAATCGATTTTTGAACTGCCTAAGGTTAGTAGAATTGGGAAAAGCCTCCTCAGGTAGATCAATCTCGATATCCTACCGACAAAGGAGCGGTCGTCGTATCAGCCTGTTCTGGATGTACGAAGTTCGGCACGGTTAGGATGAGAGGCCGGAGTCTGTCTGGCAGGTACATCGCGCGGCATCATGGAGGAGAGCTCCAAGGAGCAAAACCCGTTGGCGTAGTGGTAGAAGAGAGCTAGGTCGCCGACGGCTCGTCGGTGCGTAAGGATCCCGAGACTGTCAGTTAGATAAGAATCATCGATCAGTCGGACAGCCCTCTGAACAGTATAGATCATGGAAAATGTAGTCGAAGCGGCAGCAACCCCATGTGAGTGGTATTCGAGACTGGGTCTTGTGTGGGCCTTGCACAGAGTGAGAAGGTTATGTGAATAAAGGTACTGCTTAGCCCTAAAAAAAATCTAGCTTTTTCCTAGTAACTGCTTCTATTGTTTCGTGCCCGGTGACTCCGACCAGCCGAAATGACCGGTACTTTTCACGATTGAATTAGCTTAATTTAAGTATAAACTACGACGATCAACTAAATTCTAACATCACGTTTCTTACACAGTTCGGTTTTATTCGTTGGACTCAAATGCCCAATTCAAGATGATTGATAAACAATTTCAAATATTGAAAAATCTCGACAACTATTGATTTTGAACCATACATATTAGGTAGGGTGAAAAAAATTGCTATTGTAGTATAGTACAACAGGGGTTTTAGGGATATATTCGAGCGCGGCAAATTAAGATAAGGAGGGATACCTTGCATCCTGTTTAGTTCCTCTACCATGTATAATCCCTTTATACAGGGCAGCCATCCAGAATAATAAAAAAGTCGATGGTTAGAAATGCTCGTGTGCAAAAAAGAACTTTATAACGGATGAATACAACGGCAAGCGGTTTTCACTAGTTTGAAGGGTTTGTCGTGCACTTTCTGAATATATGTTTTTACAACGAAGCGGCTGCGCAAACAGGAGCCTAAATATCAGAGGACCGCGGCTGCTGAGGATCCCAAAGAAACTTTGTTAATCCGATTTTTGAACTGTGTGGTCAACATCGAGCATAAATAATGTAGTCGGGGCGGTAGCACCCCAAACGTGTGAGCAATACTCGAGGTTAGGCCTTATCTGGGCCTTGTATAGGGTGAGAAGTTCATGCGCAGAAAAGTACTTCTTAGCCCTAAACAAATAGTCTAGATTTTTCCCGGCAGCTGCCGCTGTTGACGAGATGTGTTCGTGCCAGATCAAGTCCTCGGTGATCTGAACTCCGACCAGCCGGAATGAACGGCTCTTTGGCAGAACTCGGCCATCCATCGAAACCGGATGAGCGCTAGGACGCTTTTTGATTAAATTATACAAGATTGTTGCGTCCCCAAGCAGTGATAACTTGCAGGTCTTTCGTCAGAGAGGAAGTCGTCGCTAGTCTTCTTTTTTCTAGCTCAGCAACAGAGATTGGCTTGTCGCTCTGTATTCCTGCTTGTAGAGTGCTGCCATCAGCAAAGCTATGGGTTGGGGTTATCGTACAGGAAAGGAGGTCGTTGGTATGTAAGAGGAATACTGCGTGTCGCTAATCAAGCCGTGACGTTCAAGATAGTCCAGAAGCGATTTATGCACCTCTCCACATCACCTTTCTTATAACAGAAAGCAGAGCTATAGGTCTGTAGTTGTAAAGGTCGGTCTTAGATTCATTTTTTGGCATAGGTTGAACATGAACAAATTTCCAGTTTTCTGTGAAGGCTCCGGATTCATAAGATATCTTGAAGAGATGCGAAAGAACTGGAGCAGCTCCGCTGTGCACCTCTTCAGTACAATGTCAGGAATCAAATCCGGACCTGAAGCTTTACTGATATCGAGTGACAAGAGCACCCGTCTTACGGTCTTGTGCCTGAATTTTACTTCCCGCATAGTGTAGGGAACTTTGAATCGACGGCATTTGGGCAAAGATCTTGGCAAGCACTTCCGCCTTAGCCTTTGAGTCAGTTACAATCGTTCCATTCTGACACGCAAGTGGTGGGAGGCTACTGTGTGACAAGTTCCTTTCAATCTGCTTGGCCAGCGTCCAGATAGACCGTCTGCCATTGCGCTGTGACTTTACCCTGTGTGGTTTTGTAAGAAGGTTCTGTGTGCCTTGATCTTCTGCTGGCGAGCAGTGTCACACGATTTGTTGAACCAGCCGTTGGACCCTGGTTTAGGCACTTTCACTGTATGAGGGATGTATTCCTCCAAACCGGCCTGGATAATTTCGGATATCAAAGAACAGACAGCCGACGCATTCGCGTTAGCGAAGCAAACATCTCTCCAAGGAAAAGTAGAGAAAAAGTCTCTGAGCCCCTTGCAGTCGACATGTCCGTAATGACAAATTTAGCGGCCTGGGTGAGTTTCTGCTGTCACAGCGGGTTCTGACTGAGACCTAGCCTCCACAGCACCGTGGACTGAGTTACCCAGAGGGGACAGGACATCAGTGCTGTAAAGGTTAGGATGAGTGGTCAGAAAGAGATCCAGCAGGCTACTGTCATGTGACGAGACGCAGGGGAAAAAAGTAGGGCTCGTCACCAGCTGGGTCAGCACTTGAGTAAGAGCGAAAGCTTCAACTGAATGACCTGCTGCATCGGTCTTGTTTGAGCCCAACCAAAGCTCATTATGGACATTAAAATCACAGAAGAGAACTACTTCTGAAGCGGGGTGATTGATGTTCAGGAAGTCAATTTTCACGGCGAGGTATTCAAGTAGGTCATCCCAATTATGGTCCGAGGGAAAGCGATAAAGCAAATAATAATAAGCCAGATAATGTCCTTCCGGTCTGATTCCAAAGAAACGTCTCTGGAGCAGGAAAGACTGCTGCGGCAAAAAGCCACAACTCCTCCGTTCTTTCTCAGATTCGGTGCAGACTCTGAGATTTTTGTCTCCGCCAAGAAAAGCATGGCGGGGCGATTGGATTGCAAGTAGTGATGAATAGCATCAATGTTGCTGTTAATCCCGCAGATGTTCGCGAAACAAAGTTTATCTTCGAGGTTGTTCCCTCGAGTCCACCCTCCATCCGGACATTCCGAGAGTAGAGTGAGTTTACGTCCCGACTTCTTAGTACTCGAGGGATCCATCATGAATTTCTTTGTTGGGGAAGATGTCTTCAAAACCGAATAGGTCCCTACGACGCTCGAGTAACCATCCATTTAGCCTCTATTAATAATACATAAATTAAAAATACATGCGAATTCGTTTCCAATAACTGTTAAATATTACGAATAGAGGTATAAGGTAAGGATGGCGTCCATCATATTCATCGTGGTGGATGTGCATACAACGTCATAAGTTGCGTATCCACCGGTTTTACTACTACCAATTGGAGAAGCAAGCTAGTCATAGAAGGCTAAATCATTTGTTCATTTTTATTTACAGGTTCTGCCAGGGTAGGAAAAACGTGCCTAGTTGCCCGATTTTTGGGCGGAAAATTCCAAGAAAGCTACACGCCTACGATAGAAGACTTCCACAGGAAACTATATAGAATTAGAGGTGAAATCCACCAACTAGATATTCTAGATACATCTGGGAACCATCCATTCCCAGCCATGAGACGTCTTTCATTTTTAACAGGTTAAATCATGTTTTCTCAGTCACAGTACATAGCGTTAATTATACATTATTTTTTTTTAATTGGTCTGTACTTTCATCTGTATTTTTTGTTGTGAGTGCAATAGTGATACAGTTGCATGCATCGCTTCTCCGGACGACCGATAAAAATGGTCCTTTAGACTTAGAGATACCTGCTCTCTAAATTCTAAACCATATCCAAATCCAAGATAGAGTAAAATAAAACAAGCACGTCCTCGTGATCGCCCAGCAACAGGTGGACAAATAACTCATTAGTGACTTCAATATCGATCGTTAGGTCCACCGGCTCTGCCATACAGGGGTACAGGGTGTCCTAAAAGTTGGAACATTACAAACCTTATAGGTCAGGCAATAATAAGCATGTTTTAGTAATATATATGTACGTATACCAAAGCTTTAAGATAACCGACATATTAGGTTCCAAAAAGCAATACATCAATCAGTACGATCCTGTGACTCTCCCCTCCCACAATCCTCTCCTACGTCAAAACGTACATTCCCTAAGCCGCAAGCCCCGCCCTTCTCGCAACGGTGATTATAGCTCAGAGCCTCACAGCGTCACGGAACATGCGTCGAGTACTCCACTATCCCGCAGCGCTCACACACGGGATTCTCAACCAGCCCCATCACATACAGGTGTTATGGCGAAACAACAGTTCAATCAGCAAGCCTAGTTCGGGTTTATTCAAAGATAAGTAAAAGCGTCCATCCTGAACTCTTAGCCCGACGATGAGCTCCCATGACTGACGGAGATGTCTAGAGATGCTTCTCCATTTCTGAGAGTGTTGTGTTCAATCCACTTCTCCATTTTTCTCCCGACTCTTTTTGCAGGCACCCCTAAGGCTGATTCAGGACCAACAAGCTTGCTCGCTGATCCTGGTTTCGCAAGCCCTTTATTCCAGCGCGCCTCGGTACACACACTAACGTTACCGCATTGCAATACAAGACTCGAAGTACTCAGGTAGGCACTTGGTGCCTTCTTCGCAGCCTTGGTGTCAGAGAAAATTGTTATTCTTCTCTTAGGCAAAGATTTCCGCTTGGAAAATAGTGGAGAGTATCCGCCGAGAGGCAGAGATAGCCTAGTTCTAAGCCCGAAGACTCCGGCGCCAGAACTGTCTTCAGTAACCGACCTGTCCTTGTACCAGACCTGCTACTACCTTCGGAGACCGTCAGGATTCCGGAGTCCCACTCCGCCCTCGTTGGATACTCCACATTAAAATTATTTAGGGGTGATCAGATCACCCTTGCTCAGAAAGACAGGATCCTCCCTTTGCAGTTCCACTAAGATGGCTGTGTGATTCTTGACAGGATTCAAAAAGGCCCAGCTGCCTTGACTTCACAATCGATGTGCGACTTACTCTCGCCTCTCCGCGGATCACTATATCCAACGGTGTGAGATCCAGCAGAGCTTCCATTGCACTCAATGGCAGTGTCCGCATTGCGCTTATTATAATGGTACAAGCCAAACGCTGAATTTTATCGAGTTTGGCCTTAGTTGTCTTGGTTCCAATGCAAGGCCACCAAACCAAGGAGCCGTACAAGAGAGATGGACGTACTATCGTCGTATAGAGCCAGTGTACCACGTTGGGTTTAAGCCCCCACCCCACTCCTACCATACGTTTGCAAGCCCACAATGAATTGCGAGCCTTATTAACCTTGTACTCAACATGCTCTCCCCAATTCAATGTACAGTCCAAGATTAGCGCGAGTTTAACTTCAGGTCTTATTTCTAGGTGATCTTTTCGTACTAGTTTTTAGTATGGACAGTAGAGAAACGTTTGAAGAAGCAATACGTTTAAGGGAACAAATTTTAGAGACCAAGGTAAACGCTGCTGCGAACACCACTGGCCTCACTAGAAGAAAAATGTCACCCCGAGTCCCTATGGTGTTAGTTGGCAGCAAAAGTGACAAGGAGATGAGGTAAATCAGAAAAATTGGAGGAATTTGATTGTTCCACAACTAAGAGCATTCTTGATTAAATTACCTTTCAATAGCCCAAAACCGGCACAAGTTAACTATCATTACAACACGTATCTTTTGTAATCGGGAGTTGAAACTGTCAATTGTTCATTTTTGGTAGAACATTTTACTCTTCAAGTAATTTATGTTAGCCCAAACTTTAAAAAAATATCTGTATGAATGCAAATATAAGCGTGATATTCCATGGTATGTGGAACTCCAGAATGTGAAACAAAAATCATATCTAAAATAGGTTAATTAATACAGATTGTTTTTCGTTTAAGGACAGTAACAATGGACGAAGTCCAGGCCTACGTGGACACCCAAGACTCCAGCTGCGTTTTCGTGGATACCTCGGCCAAAAAGAACTACAAGGTAGACGAGGCCTTCTATCAACTGTTTGTGATAGCAAACCTCCCACAAGAGATGGCGCCCAACCACCACAAGAGAATCAGTGCGAGCTTTGGGGCTCCGTGTCCTTTGCCTCCCTCAGCGCCATCTCATCACGCCAAGAAGTACCACTTATCGGTTAAGAGAAGGTTGAGCGACGCTTGTGGGGTGGTCACACCGAACGTAAGGAGACCCAGTATAAGGACGGACTTAATGATTATGAGGACTAAGACGTGTAGTTTAGGGGACAGTCCTGGGAATTCAAACAGTTCTTCAGTTAGATGGAGAAGGGTGGACAGCGGGTGTGTGTTGCAGTGAGGAAATTTGACCAAAATTGTTTAGAATAACATATCGGTTCTGTTATAATGACTGTCCTTGATGTTTGAGTGGCTTTCAAAACATGTTCCTTTTTTACAATTATTATTGCGTAGAAACCTCGCATATCTCTCTTATTGGATCGAAAATGTATGTACATAACCAAATCACGAGGACGGATTACATTGAAGTGATTCAGGGTGACCAATATATAGTATACCATACTGATTAGATCCATTTTTTGTTTAAATTGTTCATAAGAAATTGTGAGCTATGCATAAAAAATAATATTACATAAATCATCACCTCTAGAAGTCTTAGAAAGTCCCATTGATTACGTTTTACATCACTATTTGGCTAGGCTAGTGCTTAGTAAAAACCTATTATTTAGAAACCACAGCAAAACAGATGTCTGGGATTATTCAATTTGGCGATCGCGGGGGTCAGATGATATCGTCTAATGGGAAGATCAAACGGTCGGAAAAATCTTCGCAAAACATCGTTTCTCTAGTTATTATATGATAAATAACTCTGCTCGACTTGATACAGGTTGATTTAGCCTGGCAGTGGTAGTTAGGGTTAGGGAAATGTCAAAAGTAGATGGGAAAATACAGATTTGATAAAAAAGGTGACCTACTTTTCACGATATTTCATCACATTTTGACATCTATTGACGTGAATAGCTGATCAGCAACTGACAACTTTGTTCGTTTATCTATAAACTTAGACATGGCCTCCAACCAAACTAGCGCCATCTACCTCTAGCTCCCTCTAATCCTGCAGCGATTTCAAAAAGTAAGGTCTGGTAAAATCTGATCACAAGCAGCAAGAGCACTGAGGTGTGTGCGGTGCCTAGGGGCGGGAGTTTGTGTGATATCATTTTTCATAATTACAACTTTTAATAAAAGATTAAGAACAAAACAATAATGGATCTATTTGGTTTCATCTTAAAGATATTGGACAAACAAATCAACCAGTTATGTATTATATATTATAAAAAAGTGAAGAGCTTGTGGAAACAAACATTGAGCTGACGATTAGTAGAGTTATTTCTAAATAAGTCGTTCCTTAGTCTTGATAATGAAATCGAAAGAGCGACCGTATCGCCAAATGAGAAACAACCGAGTAACAAAAACGTTGAAGCCTGGCAAATTGGTCTATCAGGCCTGGATACTGACGGAATTATCGACTAAAGCTTAGATGAACTAAATTTTGTTGGTTTGTCGCGAAAATATGTAATACTAGGGGCCATTCAAGTATTATGTTTTGTTATGCTTATGTTTGATGACATGGGGGACGGGGAGATTTTTTACAATATTTAGAAGTTGGGCAATTATTATTTGTCACATGTTTCTGATTTTTTTGCAATATTTATTAGATATGGGTATCTCACCGGTCCAAAGTAGGAATATAGGAGATTTCGCGTGATCCATATCTGTTTATATTCTTTCAGTGTCACAGTTGGATACAGAAACTGAAAACTCTAAAAGAATGCTGAGACTGCGATGTGAACACTGAGTAGGGATTAAGTCATCAAGCAAAGTGTAGAACTATACTTGAAAATTTTTGGAAATAATATGATTACGTTTCCATTTATCTCAGAATTTATAAACATCCGTTTTCATCGAATTTCTCAAAAGTTTAACGCTTACGTGGTTACCTGTACTGACTAAACAGAAAGTTGGGCCGTACTAGAAAAAATGTTATTTTTTATATTGCCCTGTCAAAATTTAATGACAATCGAACCACTTCACGCGGAGTTATCGCGCTAGAGTTGAAAAATGAGCATCGAACAAAGAGCCAATATTAAGTTCTGTGTTAAATGTGGTAAAACATTTACCGAAACGCATTAGATGTTGATGCAGGTATATAGTGATGATTGTTTATTTCGTAGCCGAGTCCACGAGTGGTTTCCACAGTTCAAAGAGGGTCGTGAGTCGCTGGAAGACGACGAACATGTTGGCCAGAAACCGTCAAAAACTTGCGTGAATTTATCAAAACTGATCTCTGAAGATTCAATCCAACGCATTTTGACCATGAATTTAGGTGTGAGAAAGGTGTGTTTATGGTTTGTTCCGCACAAGCTCACGGATGACCAAAAATTGCTTCGAATTCAACCTTCGAGGGATATCATTAAAGAGGTCAAAAAGACAAGAACTTTCTGTAGAACATTGTGACTGGTGACGAAACGTGGTGCTTTCAATACGATTTCGAAACCCAAGCGTCAAAGTGCCGGATGGAAGCACCCAAGCGAGTTAAATCCGAAAAGCCGTTTGGAAAAGTACAATGTGAAGATAATGTTGATTCGTTTCTACGATTCGAAGGGAATTATTCACAAAGAATTCGTTCCACCGAGCCAAACGGTTAATGCTTGGTGTTGTGAGGCTTTGCTGTCGCCTATTTGGGGTGTTCGGCCAGAATATCACGAAGAAGGAAGCCGGCGGCGCTTGTTGCACGTTAATGCACCATCTCATTGATCGACGCTTGTGTCCGATTTTTGACAAAAAATGGCATTTTAACAATCAACCACTCCACATATTCTCGTGATATGGCACTGTGTGATTATTTTCTGTTTGGTAAACTACATTTGGCCATGAAGGCACAGCGGTATGCCGATGTAGAGGCCATCCAAAAGGCGTCGACGACCATTTTGAAGGAAATCCTCGTCAGTGAGGTAAAATTATCATTCGAAAATCTTTTGGTCCGTGCAAATCGCTGTTTTGACTCTGAAGGAGACTATTTTGAAAAAAATGGATTTTCTGAAACAAAAAATGTTTGTTCATTTTTTCTGTGTTGTTTACTTTGCGACAGATCTAATACTATGAGAAATTAACATTTATGACGGCAACCTTCCATCTACAAAGAGCTGTTTTCCTTGGATAAATAATAATAAAAAGGCGCCTATGTAAGTAATGAATGACATTCAATATTGTATCCTGTTAATTTCATTTCATTATAGCAGTTTGACAACTGAACTTTTCCAAATATTTAAAAACGTGTTCGTATATCTAGTTCCTCCTGTTACAACCACCAATGTCGAACAGTAACTGTCCAATCTTATCAAAAACTTCAAATACCATGAGCTGAGAACAAATAATTTGAATAGAACAAATTTTTTAGTAGAAAAAATAATTTCGTTTATATGTAAAGAATATTGAAACATGTTTAAAAATGTTAACTGTTTTCTTGTATAAATATTAAATGTGCAATAAATGTACATGAATAGCAATGATGAATAATACAAAAATTCTGCTTACATAATACTTGAGTAACCCCTTATAACTAATAAGGGAAACGGAATTCATCAGACAGTGATCCTCGAGATCACTTTAAGAGAGCATTTAAGAGAAAACTGTCGTATTAATTCTTTATATTTCTTGATGTATCCTTGATTTATTGCTATCTAAAAGAGGATACAGGCCAGGATTTATAACAGAACCTAACATTTCGACCAATTTTTGACCACAACCTATAGGTACTAGAAAAATAAATTAGTGTAATGTTGTGTAATATAAATGTGAAGCCATCGTTGTCGGCAGAATTGATTTGTTAATGATAAAGGTGTGCAATAATATAACGTCTAGATGTGTAACCGCATGTTTTCGCGTATTAATGTAAAATTTAATAAAAAGAAATCAAAAGGGTATTTGTCAAACACCAAGATCATATTGTTAAAATCTATAATGTAAGATAAAACTCATTTTCGTGATACAATTTGAGCAAATGATAAGATGACCATAAACAAGCAATACTTAGTTGATTAGCCATTTTAAATAATATTAGCACAAATTTTGACGATTATGATGAAAAACAGAGAATTGACAAAACTTCAAAACCACTATTATTGACACTTTTTGTCTCGCGATAATCACAGCCGTTTTAAACATTAATACAACTAACATGTGTTGGAATTTTATCATGAAAATACCTACTGCGTGATATTTTAGACACTTTCTACAGTCCGAAAAAATAAGGAGAATTTTTACTGTACTACAGCATAGTTGTAAGTTAAATGTTATGTGAAATAAAACTTGCTGATGTATACACTAGATCGTGATGGAGTTGCTAGAAATTAAGTGTAAAATCAAAATATTTAATTTTATTTTTGATAACGGTTGATTTCAAGGTCGCTAAAGGCACGCGTCCACATGTCCCCATCTCACCCTTCGTACTATTCTTTGCATAAAATCATATCATCCACTGGTTCATATCGGGCAGTAGGCAAAGTGATGATAATTTTTTGAGGAATTCATTATTCAAAAGCGTACCGATAACGACAAATCGATATTACAAATCAGTGGACGCATCACCGTTGGGGCACCGAATCACAGTGGTCTATCTATGCAAGAACCTGGCAAAAATTGGAATACAAAGTATCGGAAATAAACATAAATTATTACATATTTCAAAGTTATTACCTTGATATTTACCGGTGGAAACATCTACCTTCATTAGGCGTGTGTCGCTCATTGTAAATTATGTATGAAGTACCATATCTTGAAATTGTCTAAAACCACAATTATCTGCAATTAATCGCACTTTTAAAATATAACACTAAATACACGAATTTAATGACAAATGTCAAAACATTCACTCCGCACATTGACTCTCACTTTAGACTATGAGAATTAGGAGACAAATAAATCCTTGACTGGCTCTTCTACCTAATCCGGATTCGTTGTTCGACATTAAAACGGCAAAATTGAAGAGCTTCTGTATCATCCGTTATGTTGTGCGTTGAAAATATTTGAGCATCTGAATATGGATCATAATAAAGGGAGTACGAACTTTCATTTGATGTAACAGAAATTAATTAATTGTTTTCATGTAAGACCGTGGATTGAACGGATTACTTTTTTTACTTGCACTACTTTATGTCAGTATATTTCAGAGGAGCTTTTAATAAGGTTCCTTCTATTTTCCCACATGAAATAAATTATGTTTGTGAACTTTATTTATTTCGAAATCCCATCTCAAATGAGGTTAGGAAAAAATAAAAAGTGATTTTGGGATAAATCTAGTATGCGAAGCAAATACTATCTGAATCTACCTAGGGAATTCTGCTTTTTTGAAATAAGTAAGATTTGGTAATGTCAATGTATGACGTATTATACATTTTTGGAATCAGAATCAAGAACTCTATTCATTTGTGCAAAAATCCAATATGGCATTCATAATCAAAAATAAAGTTGATGCTGGTTGGCAAGAGTCGAAACATATTGAAATTCTAATTATGCCATCCTGTAGAGGAGAAAAAAGGCAACGTTAATGAGTAATTTATTTTAAAATCCTACTATAAATAAAGTCAGGAGAAGATTAAAACGATTTTGGGAAAATTCGATTTTTCCGTCTCACTCCGGAAGTACTTTGAATTACGACACTTTCTAGCGGCATTTTTTTAATTACCTAAATACGCAACTTTGCCAATATTTAAGCGACTTCATATCTATTAGAGTTTCCGAGATCCCAATGACGAGGATCGAACTTGACACACCCTGTATATTTCATATCATTTTTTGCTAACTTTTGCAAACTATTGAAAAATACAACCTTACATACTGCCATCTTATGGCAGGTGGGCAGAAACGGTTTTTCAACTTTTTCGAAAGTGTCCGTTTAGTGGCCTTAAAATTCCCTTAAAACTTCTTCCTCAAGACAAAACTGATCTTTAATTTGGACTCAACGACCGAGAAAACCTATGACTCGCGTCTGGTCTGGGATGTTGAACTCATTTTGAATTTTTCTTGGAGTGACCTTGAAACGACCTGCAAATGCCCTCATAGAGACAAATTAACTTCAGATTTAAAATCAGCGTCCCAAAAACCATACCATACTTACAATCGTATAAATACCCCAGAAATGTTTACCAGCTTTTCGGAGTTCTAGACCACTGTGCGACTGCATGGGTTCATCTGTATGGGTATATATATATGAAGGGTTTCCAGCAAAAACCGCATTTGTCAAATTTGTCCACTTTTGAGATATTGGCAACATTGTATCAAGAATAATCCTAGTGTGTTATCTAAAAAATATTTCCAGCAAAAACAGCAATTGTCAGCCTTATTCATACAGATAAAGCATGGATCGTTCGGCAAAAACCGCACTTGTCTTGACCTGTGTTGTTTTCGCAGGAAATTAAAGATGCGTTACAGTGTTTAAAACATGGACGCGTCGCAAAGTGTTGTACCGACAATTAGAGCAAAACAACTGAAGAAAAGAGAGTTAATACGTCTAAAAAAAGTTAAAGGTGCTGCTCACTTAAACCATAAAGGCGTTTTTGTTCCGGAAAAGCAAATTGGTGAGGATTGCAAGTAAGTTTTTCACGCTTTTTCTCTTGTTTATTCCTTCTAACCTCTACATCGCTCGTAGGTGTGTTCGTCACAAATGCTTCAATGCGGTGCTGCCAGAGCAAAGACAAGAAATTTTCGAAAGTTTTTATAATATTCCTACAAAAGACTTACAAGATTCACATCTGTCTGGCCTTATTACATTACAAGCAGTAAAGCAACGACGGTCGCGAAAACCTGCAAGAAATAACGATCTCGTTGATTATTCCGACTCAGACGAAGACATCACTTTACCAAATTATGAACATTCAAGTTCTTATGCTTTTAAAGTTCGAACAAAGCAATCTGGGGATTGTTATAAAGAAGTGCCCGTATGTAGGAAGGCTTTTCTTAGTCTCCACGGAATCAGTTATGCGCGTCTTAGACGCATACAGGAACATCTAAGTAAAACAGCAAAATCACCCTGTGACAGGCGCGGTAAACATGATAATAGACCCAATGCCTTACCTTGTGAATTGCAAAATTTAGTTGAAGATCACATTAAATCATACAGACCTCGACAATCTCATTATTCATTAAGGCAAAATCCAAATCGTTACTATCTCCCTGAGACCCTAAGTGTTCGGGCATTGTACAGATCATTTTTAAAAGATTATCATATTAATGTCAGCTATAAAGCTTATTGGACAGTTTTTCATAAGAAATTTAATATAAAATTTGGAATGCCGAGAACTGATACATGCTCAACTTGCGACTCTCTGATTCAAAAAATTGCTGCAGCAGAAAATGACGAATCAAGAGCTCCCCTACTAGCGGAAAAGGAGCTTCATTTGAGAAAAGCAAAAGCATTCTATGATTTGAAGAAAAAGTGGCAAGAAAAGGCTAGAAATGGAGAGGCAATGGTTGTTTGTTTCGACTTTATGCAAAATTTACCTTTACCGCATATTAGGGACAACTTAGCGTTCAGATGCCGTCAGCTTTGGTATTACGTTTTTGGCGTCCATAATCTTAAAGATGATAGTGCAACAATGTACACCTACGATGAAACAATAGCAAAAAAAGGTCAAAATGAAGTTACTTCATTACTTTTTCATTATTTTACACAGGTTCCTGACATCACTTCTCGAAACTTGGTATTAATAAGTGATGGTTGCCCGGGACAAAATAAAAATTATGTTATGATGCATTTTATGTATTTATTAGTCCACTGTTTGAAGTTGTTTGACAATATTACCTATATTTTTCCGATACGTGGCCATTCATTTCTGCCCAACGATCAAGACTTTTCAATTATCTCAAAACGAAAAGCGGTTGAAGTAGCAGAGATTCCCGAGCATTGGGATACTATCATACAGACTTGCAGGAGCAATCCGTCTCCATTTAATCTGATTAAGGTACAACAAAAACACTTTTTTAACGTAAAATTATCCACAGATAAATATTTTCTTAAGAACCCTCGACCTCCAATTAAGCTGAAATCGTTAAGAATGTATCGCATTCAGGCGAAAAACAAGTTTTTGGAAATAAGGGACAGTTATAGTGGACCATGGAGACAATCCATACTTCGAAATAAAATACCTCTATCCAATGAACTTCAACTTGTTCCGTTATATCGAGAACCTTTAGCCATTAATCCATTAAAACTAAAAGACCTACAGACTCTCAGCAAGGTACTGAGTAAAAGAGAACATACCGGCTTCTATAATGCCCTACGACCAACAGAATCAAACATTGCTGAATTAAGCGACAGCGATCCCGAAGATAACAGCAGTGGGTGTGACGAGTAGAAAAAATGATGTTCCCGTATTTAGAATATGTTTAAGTTTATATTTAACATCGAATGATTATTATTTAAGCGAACTTTGTCATCATATTTCAATAAAGTTTGTTTTCTTTGTAAGTTCATTTTCATTTTCTTGCAAAAACAGCACTTGTCAAACAAAAAAATCTAATTTGTGATGTTAAAACGTTTTTAAATTTATTTCATCATGCATTGTTTTATTATGCATTTTAATCTACAACCCATCCAGGAACCGCCTTTTGAAATAATTAACATCTAAGAAGATAACAGGTTTTTTTAGTTTTCTGTAAAATGCTAATTTTTGACAAATGCGGTTTTTGCTGGAAACCCTTCATATATATATATATATATATATATATATATTTACGGTCAAAGTTTAACTGCTATGCTTTGTGGATATCCATGCAATATTTTTGTTGAGCAAATAAATAACGAAAATCGTAACTGGAAATTTGAAAGTAATTAGCCGCCTAGTCGATAATCCGATTGATATGAAGAAGTACACATTACAATATACTTTAAGTTCAACATGTCTAATGGATTTTAGTGCGTGATAAACACGTAGCCAATGCCCAGTCTGAGTATAGGGTTTGATTATATGATGCGGACCTATGGACGCTTACCTTAAATGGCTAGATGCCTTTTTAAAATTTATTTTCAGTCGCATCTTATATACGTAAATAGGACAAAATAAGTGAACATATCCAGATTAGCTATAATCCATTTATATTTCTTCCCACTTCTTGGCAAACAAAAATAATTACTATCGGAAAAATATACCAATTATCTAATATTATCAAATCAAGTACGGTTACGACTGGGATTTATATGTTATGACCATTTTTGTATTTTTGTAAATTTCGCTAACTACTTTGTGAGAGATTGTCTTGTTTTTTAAAGATTTGGTGTAAGTTTATCACAGCGTATTTTGTTAATAAATGTTTATCTGTAAGTTTTTAATTTTCTAATACACCCACCACCTTCAATGATCTAGATGTTTTAGAAGTAAATCATTCCAAAAATTTTGCTCACAATTGACTTCGAAGATTATTATGATAAACATCAGTATACTGTTGGTAACAAGTGATTGATGATACACTAAAAAATATGTTTTCGCAAAAGTACTCATTACAGAACGTTGAGAACACCGTCTATTAAAGAATATAAACCTCTTGATTCAGTCATAAAATAAAAAAATCGGTTGTTGCGCACATGCCGTTGGGATGAGTCAGGAGGGAGCGCGTGAACAAAACTTGAAAATGGTGACTTTGGGGGACATATATAGTACTTGTAACGTCACACGCTCAAAGTGTGATCTAGTGGCGTAGCGTAGGATCTGTATTTGAGGTCGGAGTTCGATTCGACAGGACGCATATTTCATTTTTGAATACTGTCCATTGGCGGATTTATGGAAAAGGGGCGGTCGGCAAATTTTCAAGAGGGTCCACTTGTTCATTATATCTTAGAAATCAAGAGATACATTGTTAGGTTAATTTGGTTTATTTATTACAACAAATCAGAAATATGTAACTTTATATCCTCGTCCTGTTTTCGTTCAGGGGAATAAGTGCTAATTGGCATTGCGGTCAGTAATGGCGATTTCAGGATAGTGAGAAAAAAATTGTTCATTTTCATTCAATTATATATGCCAATCCGGTAGCTCTTATTTGAATATGATTTTTATCAACTCGTTAAAAAAGAAAAGAACTTTACAAGTATTACTAAACTAATAGTCCAAATTGACACTGAAATGCCTCAAAGATGAATTAAACATGTATCTTACTCCCACTGCAAGGGATTTATTTGATTTATAGTATCAATATGTACAGTTCAGAAGTATCAAAGTATCAAGAGGTATGAAGAGAAAAAAATGTAGCACATCATGTTACACAAAAAGTAGGTACTTATGCATAGAAAATATGAGATTTTGATTAATCTGAGAGACAATGAAAAATAATACACCCATAACTTGGATATAACTAAAAGGGGGCATAGTGTCCATAGACAATATATATATATATATATATATATATATATATATACAGGGTAGCGCATCGAAAACGAAACAGACGCATTTACTGGCAGCTCAGTTTTTTTTTTTTTTTGGAAAAACGCTCAGACCCGTCGATTTTGTTTTCGAGGGGGACACAAGTTTGACAAAAAATCACGTTAACACGTGCAGCCCCCTGGGCGGGGGTGACACCAACCCTAAAATCTGAAATGGAAAGGGGGTCGAGTGATACCTTATTTTAAAGGTCTTTTAATTCCCTTTATAATGATGTAAAATACATGAGCTTCAGTTCAGTAGTTTTGAAGATTTATTGATTTAAAGCTTAAAGTAGTCTTTAATAGGTACATCAGATTAGTCTGTACTACTTTCAGAAGAAATTTGACTAAAAGAATTTACTTAATAACTAAATCCTTTTCTTCACTACGCCCATGGTTTGTTTATCATTTTGTTGTTGAAAATAGCTGTTGGAGCGCTTTTTTTGTGGTCAAAAAGTTATTTCTTGAAGAAAGATAAGTAAATATCTCGTACTTAATTTAAATAGGAATTTAGTACATAGTTTGCGATTGATTTGATCAAACTTTGTTGCTAAACTAACCGCTTTATTACATAAATTAACCATGGTATGTTCCCCAGCATAAAGAGTTGAAATTACCGAAATATTTTTCGGTAATAATCAGTGCGCTAATAGAACAGCAGAAATACTTAATGAGCGACATGAGAACAGTAACGTACATTGAAAATATGTTCTAGAACTTGTAGCAGCTAAATTTCGGGAAACTGGGTCAGTCGCCAATAAAAAACGCAACATTGAAAATCCCATAAGGAACGAAGCAATAGAAGTGGGGGTTTTAGGGCAAGTTTATGTAGATCCTACGTTAAGTATCCGCAAATTGGAGACTGTGTGTGGTGTTAGTGGACGTACTGTCCAACGGATTCTAAAGGCCCATAGTTTTCATCCGTATAAAATTCACCTGGTACAAGAACTTAATGAAGACGATTTTGATCGGCAATTACAATTTTGTTAAGATATGAGTGAACGAATTATAAACGAACATTTTCTATTCAACACTTGCTTTTCCGACTGATGTTCCTTTTTCTTAAATGGCGTAGTAAATCATCATAACTGCCGATATTGGTCCGATTCTAATCCCAGAATTTATCATGAGGCTCATACACAGCAGCCACAAAAATTAAATGTTTGGGCTGGTACTTTTGGTGATCATTTAGTTGGTCCTTTTTTCTTACCTGGAAATTTGACCGATGAAATGTATTTGGAATTACTGGAAGACGCCATAGATCCTGCATTAACAGCCATAATTGAAAATCAGAATGATCGGCGGTACATGCTAATAGGTTGATGTTCTAACAGGATGGTGCCCCACCACATTACGAATTACGTGTTCGACAATATTTAGATCAGACGTTTCCAGATCGATGGATTGGTAGAAGAGATGCCATTGAATGGCCCCCAAGATCGCTAGATTTATCACCTTTGGATTTCTTTATGCGAGGTCATTTAAAAAGCAAAATCTATGCTACTCAGCCAACATCATTAGAAGACCTGAGACAAAGAATTGTGAATGAGTGCCTTCAAATTACTCCCCAAATATTGCAAAATGTGCGGCAACGTTTTGAGCAAAATCTTTATTATTGCATGGAGAGTCATGGTGGCCATTTTCAACATTTACTTGCCTAACGGGTCAGTTCATTCTTCAGTTTTAAATTACTTTGCTGCCAAATGTATTGATCTACACTAATGATGATGTATTAGTTTTATTTAAGCTTTAAATCAATAAATCTTCAAAACTACTGAACTGAAGTACATTAATTTTATATCATTATAAAGGGAATTAAAATACCTTTAAAATAAGGTATCACTGGACCCCCCTGCCCATTTAAGATTGTGGGGGTGGTGTCACCCCCGTTTAGGGGGCTGCACGTGCTAACGTGATTTTTTGACAAACTTGTGTCCCACTTGAAAACAAAATCGATGGGTTTGAGCGTTCTTCCAAAAAAAACTGAGCTGCCAGTAAATGCGTCTGTTTCGTTTTCGATGCGCCACCCTGTATATATATATTTACATATATAAAGTGAACTTGTGCAAAAATCAGAGTCAAAATAATTAAAACATCCAACTTGGGGTTAGGGAATAACAACGTACCACGTCAGTGGGTACCGCAAACAAAACATAAGCTATACTTACCTATGAAACGAAACATGTCCTTCAAAACGTACAAAAAATATCACTGCAGATAAAAATAAAGAAAATCTGAATGACAAGTTACTCCGTCACCACGAAAACTCACATGACACTTTCGAATTATGAATCAAGAATTCACGCATCTTGTACAACTGCTTATACGACGTTGTCAATTGTTGCGGCTTAAAAGTCGTCCGATTAGTTTCCATATTGCATTTTTTCTAAATATGAATACCTTTACCCGCTGTTAACTCATTAATATGTACTGAATACCAACTATACGTAGAAAGCATATTCGGAGATTTACCAGCCTCCATTAAGGAACATGCAACATGGCAAATTTACAAAGAGATGTATGCAAAAATACGATTGTAAATAGATTGATCTATATTTTTTAATAGTTGGTAATTCCAGTATTCGCTAAAATCTCTCGGTGTTACCATGGTGGTGCTAGCCGAATTTCGCCGTGGTGGATATGTAACGTTTAAATTAGATACACAATGAAACACCCACATTTCAAGAAGGCATTAACTATAACTAACAAAATAATTTTTTTTAGCATTCAAGCATTAGCATATCTTTCGTATGAATAGAAACGAAGCTGCTGGTGAAATTACTGAGAAAAGAATGTCTCAAATATTACGTAATCATATGTATATATAAAAACAGAGACAACAGATGGAAATAATTGTATTATGAATTCTTACAAATATATCAAACAAGTTCCCTTTTAAGTTTTATGAAACAAGTGCCATTACCATGTTTTTGTCCTCCGAATAGAACTATAACTAGACTGGACATGCTTGATCTCTCATATATTTCCTTTACCCACATGTCGATGTTCTTCAAAATTTTCGGATTTGTACCTATAAAAGATTATAAAAATAGTCACAAAGTCTTTACAATATAGTATATTCGTTTGACCTCTGACCAACGCTAAAAATTGCTCTACAAAACGAATTTTGTCTACTAGTACATTTAGATTTTTACGGGGAAAACGACCATCAAAAAGAATTGCAAAGACATGAAACGAACAGGAGGGGTCTGTTTTTTCAAAAAATATTCCTCTCTATGTATCCAGTGCGATTACGAGATATGTACATTAAGTGCTGAGACTGGCAACATAGAGTTCGATCTGGCAACACTGCAGGCTCAGGGCTTCAGGGGGGACAGAGGAACATGTGATCGGCCCTCAGTACAAGTTTGAACTAGCTGGAGTCATTTGGTTGTCCGTAAAGATTTTTTTGTAAATCAGTTTTTTATTTTGTTCTAAAAATGAATGACATCAATTTCGAGCAACCGTATGCTATAAGGTTTTGCTTCAGACTTGGGCACAGTGCAACAGAAACCCTTACTAAGTTTTTGCAGGCCTGCGGAGATAGTGCTTTGTCAAGAGCCCATGTTTTTCGGTGGTTTAAGACATTTTCAGAAGGCCAAGAGTCGATTGAAGATGAACCACGAAGCGGAAGGCTACATCTTCAAGAACCGGAGAAAATATCGAGAGATCTTGTGCGTTCAGATCGTCGGTTGTCAGTCAAAATGATCGTGGAAGAGTTAAATTTGTCTCACACCACCCTTCATCAGATCAAGAACAACTGGGTGTTGCATCACGATAATGCTCCTTGTCGCACAGCAGTGTCAATAAACGAGTTTTTGGCCAGTAAAAACATTCGTGGCTCCTCAACCTCGTTATTCGCCTGACTTGAGTCGTTGTGACTTTTTTCTCTTCGCGAAGTTGAAAAATCACCTCAAGGGAACTCATTTTGGGACAGTTGATAACATTCAAATGGCTGTAACCGACCAGCTGAAGGCTTTTGCAGTATCAGAGTTCCAGCACTGCTATGAGGAGTGGAAGAAGCGTCTCCAGCGCTGTGCAGCTTCAGAAGTTATTTTGAGGGTGAGAATATAAAATTCTGATTATATTTGAATAAAAAAATTAAAAATAATTAGGCTCATCGCTTCATTTACAGACATATACATTTTTTGTTCTCATTTTTGAATTCAACTTCTGGATAAAATAGCGTCTAGCAGGATGATTCTATACTTCCCACGCAATTATCTCATCAAGTTGATTATCTTTACCTTACTTAGAATATGTTACGAGGAAGGTCAGCGGTGAGAGAGCGAGGCCGTCTCTGGACCTTAGAGAAATGGACCCATGATCACCAGTTTGGGTCAGAACTGCCGTATATTCTGACCTGAACTAAGTATTACAAAATCACAATGACAAAAAATGATGCCACTGTACAACAGTCTGTCGTATGAGGCATCTTTTCGCAGTTAATAGTCCAATATTCTATTAACAATACCATAAGATTTTTGAACGCGCGCCGTGTAACTGTCTTCACTCACCTTCGAGTTGCCCATCAGCAATCCTAATATGAGCGATATTCAAGCTGAAGTTGATCATCGAGTCGCAGAACCTCTTGATTACCTCTTTGTTCGACTTTTCTTGTATACAAGTAACGTTCGTGACGTCTGTCACCTCCTCCCCTTTATTCACATAAAATTTGTATCGTTGACCGATGTCATCCAATGCGATCACATTAACTCTTTTATCGACCTTCACGCATTGTCGCAACATGCTAGTGGCGTAGTGGGAGGTTCCCATGTCTGGATACGCCCTTAGCTGAAATTAAGGACAGGAAAATGTTTAAATTCCGGTGCAATCTATGTATGCAAAAAACATCTTTGAATTAGCTGGGAAGTTATCTGGGAGTTAATTCATGAAATGAGAGCAAAGAGTAGTATATCTAAAAAATTGAACGTCTTTATAATCGATTGGTAGGCCCCATTAACTTTGGAGATCATCTGCATTATCGTAGGGAAACCGATCGCAAATTTTTGTTACATCATCGCGTACTGATATAAATCGATAAACACTAATCATATTTTACATATTATAACTCGGCAAGTTGGCTGTTTAGCATCAAAATACATGAGATTTAACTACTTTTCGGTTCTTAGACTATTATTGTTTAAAAAATAAAATGATCAACAAGATAACTATGATTCAGCGATTCGCTTAGAGATGGCTCTGCATGTTCCGAGGCGGTGTTGCCAACCAGTCATAAAATGTTGAGAAAACGCTACATTTATTCTGAGCTCAATGGAGTTCAGCACCCGTATTATATAACTTAAGAAGTGACAATCGCCCAATGGGCAATGAAACCACATACAGAGCGGTCAAAAGTTTGGAAAAATTCTTAGTAATTTTTAATAAGTCCGCTAATTTTTTATTCTTTATTATTAACGACTATTTTTTCTCATAAAGTTTGCTTACAGTTATGAGGATACAATTGACAATTTGTGTTTGCTGTGCTACTACAGACTAGCATTAAAATACCCTCATATTATTTTATGACCAAAAATGAGACGACGAAAGTATGGAAACATATTTTTTATTACAAAATTAAATACAATAACTCTACAAAAAGATTTAAAAAATACTGTTTAGCTAATATTTGGTAGCATAGCCTTTAGCATTCAACACTGACATCTGCTGCTTATAGAAGAGACCAATTTTTTACAGATGTCTGTTGGGATATTTTGCCAAATATTTTTTACATAATCAAATAAATCGTTCCTATTTTTTAAAGTTTTTCTTGTCAGTTGTCTTTCAACATGCTCCCAGAGATGTTCTATAGGGGATGGCGAACGCCATGTCAGAACATTAACATTTTTTAGTCTTATCCAGTCCTTTACGAATTTTGAGGTATGCTTGGGGTCTTTATCTTGCTGGAATGTCCATCGAAAAGGGATTTCTTCTTCAGCAAAAGAGAGCATGTGTTCACTAAGAATATCTTTGTAAAGCTTTTGATCCATTTTTCAAACAATTTTAACAATTGGATCCGTTCCAGAACTAGAAAAACAGCCCCAAACCATGAAGTTGCCTCCACCGTGTATAACTGTTGGCAACTAATACTTTTTGTCGAATCTTTTTCGTATCGGACGTCTCACATAATATACCGTACCGTCAGATCCAAACAAGTTAAATTTGCTTTCATCGCTACATAAAACTGTATTCCATTGTTGTTCTGTCCAAGTTAGATGAGTTTGAGGAAATTCAAGCCAAGCAATACGGTTTTTTTTGAAATGAGAGGCTTTTGCACTGGACTCTTACCAAAATGCCTAAAATCTACCAAGCGTCTCTGCACTGTTGTGGCAGAAAGATTCTCGGCACCCTCTTCTACGATTCCTTTGAAAATCTTTGTGGCTGGCATTCGAAGATCTTCATGGGACAAACGTTTAATGTAGCGATCCAAAACATAATCTGTTTTTTCGGTCTTCCGCACCTGGACCGCGTTGCTGTTGATCTGTATTCTTGATATTTACTAATAATTTTCGAAATCGCCCCTTAGTTCATTTTTAATCTTTGAGAAATGTCAACATTTCCGACACCACTTATAAATAATTCAATTACTTTGTCTCTTAAATCTTTTTACTTCTGCCATTCTCACTGATGTTAATATTTACCGCAAGCAATATCAGAGTATCGCAGAACGAATAAATACGGCAAAACTGAAATGTTTCCAACTGTGGTATTTAAAAAAAACAGAGAATTTGAATATTGATAAGATAAACCTTGTATTAGTAGGGGAGCCAAAGGTAAACTTTAATACTTATCTGTTCCTTCACAATTTTAATTTAGGTATATAAAATAGTTCATAATAATGTTAATATTTGTTTCCAAACTTTTATCCGCGACTGTAGGTATCTATATTTCAAATATATGTGGTTTCAATGGGCAGACATAGATGGGAGATTATCGACATAAAAAACAGGATAAATTTCAGACGTTACATTAAAAAGTGACATTTTACCGATTTTTATGACATTATGTAGGTTTTTATATAAAATATCATCTTTGAACTAGCTGACATTCACTTCTTGCTCACTTGTACTAGATGGGAATGAACTAGCGGCACACCAATGGTTACCTAGTACACGACCTAACATACAGATTTTTTTGACATTAATAGGTTTTTTGCGTAATAGCTTTGTGGTTCTTTTCACGGTTTTTGGTGGTGGTGGTAAAAAATTTAGACGAAATATGTAAACATATCGTCTTAAGGCCAGGCTGTCTAGATGACAACCATGTCAAATAGATCGACAATTGGTCAAATAAGCAATTTGAGGTTTGAAAAGTTTTCAATTTCAAGCTGGCCGGCAGGGTTATTACGTATGAATATGAAAAAATCGGTAAAATGTGAACTTGTGCACTAGGTAGCCGCTAGAGTGCCGCTAGTTCACTCAGCTCTTACAAGTGAACATGAATGGAATGTCAACTAGTCCAAAGATGAAAATTTATAGGAAAACCTACATAATGTCAAAAACACCTACATATGTCATAAAAAATGTCACATTTTAAGTTACGTAATACGGGAGTCGCCTCTTTTGTTTGTTACTAATCTAAATCGTGTAGTATTCCGCTTAGGGTCCTAAAAGTTGAATAGATATGTCGTAAGTTTTGGTTTTGAGAATAACTTATCTTGCGAATAGTGTAAAAAGTAAATTTGAATAAAAAATGCGTTCACTTAAGTGAAGATCAATGAATTCATCCAAAATGGATTATCTATTACACAAAATTGACATTGTAGCTTGCTAAATAAATCTTTAACAACAACCTGGCAACACCGTATTTATTTGCGACTAAATAAGAATAGCACGTGTTTAAGTGCCACCGGCTATTTCGTGGGCGCAATGTTTTTGGCTCTCTCTAATTTTATTCGTCTTTGCTGTCACCTCTTTCTATAACAACCCTTTGATGGGAGACTAGAACTGTATTCCTGAATGCTGATAGAATAGTCGCTTCCCTAATCATCAGTCTAAGCTCTAAAGTCTAAGTTAACTTAGGGCCGTATAGTCAGTCGTTCCTACAATTGTAGGACGTCTTTATGGCCTCCTTCATTTTCATAGTTTTCTACTGTTCCATATAATTCTTCATGCTTTTGATTTATATCATCTATTTTATCAGGCTGAAATTTCCTAAAATTCAAAAAGAAAACATAATTTCACAGGGGGAGCGCGCTGACGCTGATACGGAACAGGTAAAATCTAGAAATACCCCAGCCTTTCAGGAGGAGTGAAAATACTATGACAATCAAGGAGGCCATAAAGGCGACATACAATTATAGGAACGACTGACGATACGGCCCTTAGGCCCGTATCGTCAGTCGTCCCTACAATTGTAGGGCGCGTTTATGGCCTCCTTGATTGCCATACTCCTTTCTCTCCTTCAAAAATTTCTAGATTACACTTGTCCCGTGTCAGCGTCAGCGCTCTCCTATTGTGAAGATATGTTTTCTTTTTAAATTGTAGGAAATTTCAGGCTGATAAAACATGATATAACTCAAAAGCAAGAACAATTTGATGCAAATAGATGTTTGTGACATAACCTCAAAATAGAGTTCTGACACGGAGAAGCAGAAAACTATGACAATCAAGGAGGCCATAAAGGCGCCCTACAATTTTAGGGACGACTGACGATACGGGCCTTAGTGATGGAATGTTTGACAAAAGAAATATACTTTAAGCTAGGGTTGCCTATCAACAGCATGCCGCAAATATGGTAATTTAAGATAAAAAACAAGCGGTTTGATGCCAGCATCAAGTTGATCATGTTTTCAAGGAGACTCACTATTATCTTACCTCTGAATAGACATTGTTCATAACTGCATCTCCATAATACAGATGTTTAGTTAGTCTCAACTGTACCAATTTCATACACGCCAAACTGTCCTCAGTTGAACAATGCCCCTGATGGCCCGTTTGAATCTTCTCCTTTAAAAGCTCCCTTGCTAAAGTTTGAAGTTTTGTTTTTCTTGACCGATCACCCGTTAAGTTATAAACAACGCTGAAATAACAAGTTGAATATGTATTCTAAACAAAATAAAATTGTCAAAATGTTACTACAAGTGAGACTAACTCAAGGATAATCACCGATCCGTCGGCAGCACGGAAAAGACTATCAAAAACTGTACACAACTGTTCCAGTATACAATTTCGATAAAAACTATCAAATAATAGTACCAGAAAGAAAGGCGTGGGGGGAAGGGACCTCCTATACATGCCAAAAGCTACTGGTATACGGACGGCTCGAAAACTGACACAACTGTTCCAGTGTACAATTTCGATAAAAACTATCAAACAATAGTAACAGAAAGAAAGGCGTGCGGGAAGGGACCTCCTATACATGCCAAAAGCTACTGGTACACGGACGGCTCGAAAACTGAGGACGGAGCTGGAGCCGGGATTTATGGGTCAAGGCCAAAAACTGAGATCTCTATAAGTCTAGGCAATATTGCAACAATATTTCAGGCTGAAGTAACGGCCATAAAAGTCTGTACAAAGGAGCTAATAAGGAATGTGACTGCAAATCCGTCGATCGACATCAGTTCCGACAGCCAGGCAGCCATAAAGGCATTAAGTTCATCGCAAATATCGTCTAAATTAGTATGGGATTGCGTGAACACTCTCAAAGAGCTGGGAAACCGAAACAAGGTATCATTGCTCTGAGTAACAGGACATGAAGGACACAAAGGAAATGAAAAGGCGGATGAGCTAGCCCGACAGGGTACAACCAATCGCCTCATAGGACCAGAGCCTTTCTGTAGCGTGACGAGAACACGCACCAAACAGTCCATACGAAATTGGACCAAGACAAAGTCCCTAGAATGGTGGAACAGCCAATTGTGGGCAAAGGCAGGCAAAAGAGTTCATCAAAGAACGAAGGCCCGCTTTTACAGAGGACCTACTCGGACTCGATAGGAAGGCCATAAGGGCCATAGAGGGTCTCCTGACAGGACACTGTCGTCTAAATCGGCATATGAGACTTTTGGGTCTGACAGAAGAGGCCACATGCCGTTTCGGCAGAGAGCACGAGGAAACCCCACTGCACCTCCTGGGTCACTGTGAAGGCCTGGCAAGGCTACAGTTTCAGATAGTAGAAACCACAGGACCATCAGCGGAAAGCTGCATACAAGGCCCTGTGTCAAAGCTATGGAGTCTGATCAAAGGATCAAGGCTGGACACAGGGTTTAGAAATTATATAGAGGGTCATAATAAATCCACTTGGGTCGCAGGGACTTTAAGGCTGGCAAGCCAACCTCTGACTTTGTGATCTGTACTGCACGTGATATGGGGTAAAGCCACCGACTACTAAAAAATAAGTCGTTTCGCAGATGTCGATGGGCCTGGGAGAGTCTGGGTGTAAACAAAACGTGAAGATAGCCGACTTTGAGGGACATATGATCTGCAAGGCCACACGTTCCAAGCGCGATCCAGTAGCGTAGCATAGGATCAGTATTCGAGGTCGGAGTGGGAGACGTACGAACATTTTATTTTTGAATACAGTGGCGGACTTGAGAAAAAGGACCGGCGCGGCTATTATGTAAAAATCCTAAAAAACGTCTAAAAAACGACAAAATGTCATCTTGCAGACTAGGACGTTTTTGGTGTGCAAATGCACGTTTGCTTGCTATGATCGCTGACGTTTAAGCTACACGTACCACTACTAAACGAGTTCTCAGCTAGTGTACAATAGCTTGTGCTAAGTTAACAGCCTGTAGAAAAACCTATGTTATGTCATAAAAAACCTACAAAATGTCAAAACCCCGACGAAATGTCACGAAGCTACATAATGAAATAAAATCAAAAATGCCAGAAACATATACAGTGAAAACTTCAGAGATAAGTAAAAAACCACAAATCAAAGTTATTGGATTTTGTCAAGAATATGCAGAAGACGAGCTAATAAATACTATAAAATCACAAAATGAATCTTTTCAAGAAAATTCACATATGAGAGTAATTACAGTCAAGAAAATGAAAACTAAATATCAAGCAATTTTAGAAGTGGATGCTGTGACTTTTAAGTGTGTTATGAATCAGGGTGTTATTTTTATCGACATGTCTGTTTGCTCTGTTTTCGAGTACATCAATGTTTTGCGATGCTATAAATGTACCGGATTTAACCACACAGCTAAATACTGCACAAAATCAGGAAGATGTCTTACTTGTGGATTAGAAGGACATTCAACAGAAAACTGTAGTACCAAAGAAATGTACAAATGCTGTCCAAATTGTAAAAGTGCAAACCAAGATTTTAATCTAGGATTACCTATTAATCATGGACCATTTGACAAAAATTGTGAAGTATATAAAAGGAAAATTGAACGTGAGAGGGAAAAAATTAATTATGCAAATGAATAGCAACTACTAAGCTCAGATTTGCAAGACGTGGCTAAATCTATAAGTGATGAATATAACTCAATATACCATTTAAACATACAAGGAGTCCTGAATAATATAGATGAAGTTCAACAGTTTTTAAGATGGAGAAAACCACTTGTATTATGTCTTACCGAAACACATGCTACAGAAGACATCACTGATGGTGAATTACAAATTACTAATTATAAAACCTACAGATGCAACTCCAACTCCAGACATACTGGAGGTGTAGTGATTTATGTTTACCACAAAATACAGATCACATTATTCGATTGTACCACTTTAGACTATGCATACTGGTATGCACATATACAGTTCAAATTATTTGGGAAACGTTATGATCTTTGTACTTTTTACCGTTCACCAAACAGTGATGCAGATACATTTTTAACGTTTTTTGAAGAAAAATGCGAAGAAATGTGGAATTTTAGAAACAATATAATACTTTTAGGTGATTTTAATTTAAATTATTATGGTAAAAGCATGAAAACAAGAAAATTGAAAGAAACCATAAACAACTATGGGTTCAAGCAAAAAATTGAAGAGAGTACCAGAATAACATCATTATCAGAGACTTTGTTAGATCTTGTTATTGTAAATTTCGAATGTGCAGGGATTAAAGCTGTACATACACCTAAAGTTAGCGATCACAGTTGGACAATGCTGCCCTTGGTAGGGCATTTTTCTGATACAAAAATTAAGAAAATCGTAAATACTATTAAGTACGAAAAACTTGAACGAGAACTTGCTGGCTGCTATTGGAATTTTGGTGAGAATATGGAAAAAATATATGACAACATAATAGGAAATATAAAAACTTGTTTAGATCTTGCAACTGATAAAAAACTGATTTGCTCGACAAAAAATACACCCTGGTATAACAAGAATATTAAGGTAGCTCAAAATTTGAGAGACAAACAATACAATAAATGTATATTCACAAAATCAAATGATGATTGGGAGGTATATAAAACTCTTAGGAATAAATGTGTATATGTAATTAGAGAAGAAAAAAGAAAATTCTACGACAAACAAATCGATAATAACAAGTGCGACAGTGTAAAGATGTGGAAGACTTTAAAAAGACTGATCAATTCGAAGCCGCATGATTGTGTAAATCAAGTTCAATTCGAAAACGGTACCGAAACAAATTCTTTGGTGATTGCAAACAAACTAAATGAATATTTTGTGGAAAGTATTGTTGATATTGTAGGTACTGCCAATGCTGCACCTGACTATATGAAAATCAGTTTCCAGGGGGAAATGTTGCATACACTTTCAAAATTTCACAGCGTATCATTGAATTATCTAAGAAAAAAGTAAACAGTTTAAAATCAAATAACAACTGTGCCGAAATGATTACTAAAAACGTGCTGAAAAACTGTTTCGAAATTTTGGGATATCCTGTATTAAATTGGATCAATTGTTCACTGAGAAGCAGTTCTTTTCCTGAAAATTTGAAATGCTCTACAATAACACCAGTTCCCAAGATAAAAAATTCTAAAAGATGCAGCGATATGAGACCAGTAAATGTGTTACCAGACATTGAAAAATTATTAGAGTCCATAGTGTATGACCAATTAATGCAGTTTATAGAAGAAAACAAAATTTTAGTGGAGGCGCAAGCAGGCTTTCGAAAAAAATATTCCACAGAAACAGCTTTCCAGTTGGTAACTGAGAATTGGAGAAGAGCCATAGACTCAGAAGAAGTTGTCATAGCAGTATTTTTGGATTTGAAGAGGGCATTTGAAACGATTGATAGAGATATTTTGTTAGGTAAATTGAAGGCATATGGTATAACAGGAAGTGTTTTAGATTGGTTCGGAAATTATTTGTCTAAAAGGATGCAAGTTACAAAAGTTAATGACACTATTTCATCAAAAATTGAAAATACGTTGGGTGTTCCACAGGGCAGTATCCTGGGACCACTTCTTTTTATTTTATACATAAATGATTTACCTGCCATAGTCAAAAAATGCAAAATTCAAATTTTCGCCGATGACACTATGATTTATATAAGTACTAAAAATATTCAGTCTGGTATCTCTTATATAAATGAAGACTTGAAGCTTGTCTCAAAATGGTTAGCATCTAACAGACTAAAATTAAATGCAAGTAAAACGAAAGCCTTGTTAATCGGAAAAAAACAATGTACAAATGTTCAACTGAATATTGATGGTGAAGATATTGAATTCGTAGAAAATTTTAAATACCTGGGAGTTTTTGTTGACTCTCGATTAATTTTTGATATTCATTATGAAAAAGTTATAAATAAGATTAGTAGTAAAGTGGGATATTTATCGAGAGTTTCTGGATGTCTGAGTTCATATAGCAGAAAAATTATCTATAATACCATCATTCTTCCAAATTTCTTGTACTGTTCGACTATTCTATATTTAGCAAATAATTCCATTTTTGAAAGACTGCAAATTTTACAAAATAAGTGCATGAGAATAATACTAAATAAAGATAAATATACTCCAATTAGGCAAATGCTTAGCAAATTAAAATGGCTCAATGTAAAAAATTTTATCAAATATCTTGTAATGATATTCATTTATAAAGTAAAAAATAATATATTTCCATCAAGTCTAACTAATTTAACATCATCAAATGTCGACCATCATTTACATAATACCAGAAATAAAGATGACTTCCATTTAATGACCAAAAAGTATAACATATGCTACAAATCTGTATTCCATCAAGGGTTGATTGAATATAATAAATTATACTCGGAGATAAAAGACCAGAAAACTTTGACAAAATTTAAAGTAAAATTGAGAAATCACTTGTTAAATCTACAATTATAGGTTGCCCAGCATTCACATCATACACCTTATGGCTTGAATTTACTAGTTCTAAGTTGTTTACAATTGTTCTGTTTATGTAGCCAAATGTGCTAAATAAATCTTTCTACTACTACTACTACTACTACTTTTCTTGATACGCAATACCCGTGCCGGTCGGGAATTTTTCAAGAAAACGAAACTTTGAATGTTGCCAATGCTCCAAAATATTCTTTAAACATCCATTAACAAAATCCCAAACCATTTCAGGAAACTGTGAAATTTCTTTTTCAATTGTTAACCAATCACGTGCTCAGTTAATACTCTGCGTGAGTGCTAGAGAGTTGCAACATGTAGGGCGGCCGCTAGCAGCGGGGGAGAACCATTGAGCGCGCGTTCGACTAACAATTAGAAAACAAAAGGTTTCCCCTTTTTCCAAATATTGTATCGCTTAGATCTGGAAAACTATCAACTTTAGAGAAAAGTCCTAAAGCACCTTTTTGTCAAAAAAAAAAACACTTTGACCGGAGCGAACGATTACTGAGTTTGTTTAAAAAAGATTTGACGCCAATTTGCGACTAGCAACATGCAGATTCATTAAAACGAACTCTTTTTGAATAAGAGTACGCTAAAAATCTGAATCAGAATATTTTCCCATCGGATGCGAAGATATTGCCCCGAATAAGTGTTACCTTGTGTCAATGATATAAGGATGCATCATTTTCAAAGCATGAAGATCATTCGCCAAAGATTGTCCTACTAATATAGCGTCTTGCGGTAATAATTTTTTCAATTCTTCTTGTACATTTTTCAGCTTTGTCGTTACGTTCCTCATCATTTTCTTATTAATTCCAGACCACTTCGTCAAATAGTCCACGATTTCATTGTCGGGTTTTACTAGAGTGTCGTAAAATACTTTGAGGTTTTCATCAACTACAGATACTCGCGTAAGTTCCAATTCACCTGTAAAAAGCATGAAGTGAATCAGAATGAATTGATCAACAAGAACAGGGTGGCCCAAAATTAACCTTACAATTCAAATTCTTTTAATATACATAAGTAGCTCTTTAATAAATGGGATGTCTATGCATGTATACCTGTGGAAGTCTTGCACATTTCACAATCAATCGCAAACATAGGACTGAAAGGTGTAACATCTTTATATTTGTCTTTAGTCAAACGATATCCAGCATACTTTCTTTCTACCAGCCCTTGTATAGGGAGGGGAAAATTTTCTTCCACCATCTGCCATCCAGAAAGCAGCAGCTGCGTCCTTGGAAACTTGTCCGAAGCCGGAAGTTTGGAGTCGAGACATATCGATTCAGAGACATCTTCTTCCATTGGAAAGAAGTTCTTCACTGTGTCGAACAATTCGTCGCTTTGAAGGACTGCTTCTTCTAATGTACCAAAACTATTGATGAACTTTTTCATTTGAGAGCCTACAAGAAACCATTGATATTTAAAGAATGTAATTAATTTTAAAGTCTGGAAATTAATTTCGACAAATATACTCTCAGGAGAATGTCACTTGATCAGTACTGTATACTGTGATATGTATCACCAATATTTACTCATTATTCCGTTAGAATCAGTTTCAAGGGTCGTAGATAATTTAGAATGCACCCTCCTGCACTCTTTTTTAATTTCATTCGAATAAATACACATGCAATGAGGTTAATTTGAATAAGCATATTTGTGGTCGAGATATATTTCGATCATTTTCATGCGTTAACATCTCACAGTGTCTTGGACCATTTTATAAGTGCTGTAAAGAAGACCATTGAAATTGAATGAAATTTCTTAATAAGTTTAATGAGATTCCATTTGTTATGAGATTTGTGTTTCATTATATATATATACATTCTAATATTATGGACTATGTTCTTTTATCCAAAAAAAGATGCTGCTGACTGAGCATTGAGCCCCACCGAGAACTCCGGGCCTGGGGGTAAAAGTCCCCTATCCCGTTTCTCGTCGGGCCGACCAGTTTCATATCAGCCTTAGCTTAAATACGATTTCAAGTAACATTTAGGAAAAATAAGTATTTCAGAAAATATTTTGGAGTTGTACTAATACATCTAGAAAAACAATATTTGCTAGTTTTTGCTTCTTTGTTGAACCCACTTGAATGTTCATAATTGGGATTATATCTATCATTAGATAATACCTTCAACCTTCATATATCAGCAAGGTTGAGGTAACAAATCTAATCAAACTAAATTGGAGTATTAGATAAAATATGAAAAAATAAATCGATACAGTATTACCTGTCAGATTATCATCAGAATTAACGTTTGCCTATTAAGTGTTAGACCATAGATAAGAGTTGCACCAACCTGTTAGTGGGACCATAGATAAATCCTTAACAATGTCACTTTTGTATGATGCAGGTGTGATCATTTCCAATTTATGGTCGAAAGTAGAGCTTAGAAATGGTAATAAACTTTCATGATTAAGGAAGTCGTAGAGCGACACGTTTTCTATCACCAGCAAGTTTGTGTTGGTTAGTCTGTTATATTTATCAAGAGCACACCACCTACAAAAATAATATTTAAACGGCTGCTGTGAATAATTACTATTATTTTGGCCTTTGCCAAAGATCGATGGAAAATGACTGCCTTGTCTCTCTCAGTGCCATCCTTGCGCCTACAGGGGCCTCGAAAGAGAGTTATAAAATACCCTACTTTTTGGCTACTAGTCAATTCTTGGTTCAGAAGAAATGGAATCCAGAGCCGCCAACTTGAATAAATTATACTGTGCGCGTTACTCATGGAATCCCTGAGTCGTCAATTATTTCTGTTTAGGTATGCAAACATCGATGTAGAGAGTTTTGTAGAGCTTAATGAGCAATTAGATAAAGAGCTTCTGGCCAGCGGCTGTAAAAGTCAATTTCGATATTCTTGTGTCGTTAATTCTGTGGTTTTTTTGAGTATTGCCTACCATCAATACTCAGTTTTCTATTTTGAGCCCACATTTAGTTCCTCCACTATTCAAACTACAAATTCCAAAACTATCCAAGCATACTAAATCACACATCACCAGAAATCACAAAGCAACAAATAAAGTTTAATGTGCTGCGAAAATGGACACAAGAAATTTGCACACACACTAAAAGAAGTGCTCCTAAATCAAACCTATGTATACTGAATTGAGTGTCGTGATCAGTGTTCCAAAAATCACGATTTAAAAAAATCAAAAAACCTGTTTTTTTTTTCGATTAAACTGTGATTTTTTTATCATCACTTTGTAAAGATTTTTTCCTCAAACATTACACTAATGAACTTTTAAATAACTTATTTTAATTATTTTTCTCTATTCGCCCAAAAAAATGTTGTCTGGGTTTAGAGTAAGAAAATCTCTTCAGCGACACAAAAAAGACTTGTCTTGACATGTCGCGCGCATGCCGCGGCTTCTTTGTCGGAACAAGATAATTCGTTTGTCTTTATAATCGGTTGACGCGAGACGGATCATTTCCTAACTTATAATCGGCCCTTACGTTCGTATATAAATTGCGTGTTCCTATTTAGCTGAAATGTCTCGAAATGGTGGTAAAAAAAGACCCTATTTAGCAATATTTGTTGAAAAATCGAATAAATCAGGCGGAAAAACCGCAAGCAGAGCGAGCTGTAAAAAATGCAAATTTGATTTAAAAGGAATTGTTGAACGGATGGAAAGACACTAGGAGGTATGTTAGCAAAAGGGAAGCAGATCAACAGTACTTGTTCAGGACTAGATTTAAATGTAAGTACAATTTACCAGTATTATTTATTCGTTTAGGTAATATTATAAACTCTAATCTGTTTTTGTTGTTGTGAACTGTGTTTTCTTAAGTATAATTTATTAATATTTACGTTGGATTGATGATGATTAGTTATGTTTTGTACACATGAAATAAATATTTACGTTGGACTGATGATGATTAGTTATGTTTTCAAGCTTATACATAATTTATGCAAACTCTTAGTTTTAAATAAACTATCCTCCTTTTTTGAATTTCCTGTTGTGCTACTTCAGTTATTTGCTTCGGCGACTTATTTTTACAGCAATTTAGAATTTGATTTAATTCACCATTATAATTGAAAAAATCAATTGATTTAAATTATCGCAACTCTGTTAGGAGTTAATGACATATGGCAAATTTTTGTGTTGTTTGCCCTGTATATGGATTTTCTGTTTGGCAATAAAATATTATTATTATTCATCCAACAAGTTTTTGAATGCATCCACTTTAGGCACAATAATATATTCCTGGGTTCTTTATATTATTGAACATTTCATCACAAAGTTTAATTCGCCTTTAGACGTGACGCTGATGGACGCCGTCGAGACCTACGCCATTTCTCTCCAGAGGTTGACTCAAGGAGCGACTATTCTATTCAGGAATAGCCCCTCATTTCAAGAATGAATTGCCGGGGTTCTGGCAACATGAAACGATTCACTAGTTGGCCTACAACCAATAGCAAGCTTTTTTCCTTTGTCGCTCTTAGATTGGCAATGCTGCCGTACATGTCAGATTGCGAGAAGCAATGAGTAGTTTTTCTGATTGTTGTAGGAAAAAATACTGACCTAGCTGGTGAATATGGCGAATGTACCCCAATCTGTGAGTACATAATCAAATGCTGCAGATCAGACAGAAACATTGGTACTCTATCATTGATGTTAGTGGTTAAACTGGCATTTACACCTAATTCCCTCAACTTGAAATTGGGCTGATTTTTTATTCTTGTTGTTTTTTCCCTTAATACTTTCTTCAGGGCAATTAATTCATCACCTTCTAATTTGGGCTTTCCTGAAGGGCCAAGTTCACCTATCTTTGGAGGTGGTGGTTCATCCATCAAAGATTCATCTCTGTTTATACATCTGCAAGTAGTAACAAGTTATTTTTCAATGAACACTATGGATGTTGCAAATATTCGCATCCGCATCAATTTGAACATTTGCAACCACATTTGTCAATATGGAAGGATGTGCATGCAGATGCAAATGTACGGCAGGTCACAAAAATCATTTATATGGTAGTGCATGCAGATTTTTATTGCCACCAGTAGTGAACAGGTGTTCCAGTAATGCAGGTTGATCAAGACAGTTGACAAAAAAATGGAAATAGTTACTTATTGATTGGCTGAATAGGTTCTGTTTGCTTTCGGCCTCTGCGGCCATAACCAACCGCGTACGTTGTTTCATGTTTTTCAGCAATCATAAGTATGGCACAGGTCTAGTTATTTTGAGACAGATGATTAAAAGCAAACAAGTAAATATGGATCTATTGAAAAACTCAGTATTGACTAAACAACATCTCCATGTTGTTCTGGTCATAGTCTTGTTCAAGCAGCAAGACTATAGGATAAGTTTCATGACTTCCATTAATACATTAACTGCGGGAGGGGCATTTGCTTGTCAGATGTGTGGTGTGTTACATATCCCTGGCATGCCGTACTATAGTGTGGTACATATTCCTTGGGATTCGTATCATTCAGTACCTTAGGTGACAGTGCAATCCCAAGATTATAATATCTATCAAAAACATATTTTTGTACTTTTTAACCTTATTAGGCAAGTATAGCATGTTACTCTGTTTGTTAGAAGGTGGTGAGATATAATGATGATTAGGTTATTTTATATTTCTAGCAGATGAAACCCAATTACAGGAAATGCTTAAAATTAACAAAACAATAATAATAAGTGAAAAGACATGCTATTTAGACTTCAACTTAAAGCATCATTAAGCCTAACTAAACTTGGAGAAAAATCAATAGCAATAAATGACTGATCCACAATTGTCCTTATAAATATCACATGACACAGAGTTAAAAAAACTGCATGTGGCATGAATAGTGATTTCAACAATCATTTGTGCAGTCAGCTTGACAATAAAATGCCTTTTGTTAACTACTCCCTTACTCCCAGCCTTCAAACGCAGAAGTATATTTCTTCAAGTAAGTTTGGACAGTTAATCTCATTGTGAATGAGAACATATTAAAATAACAAGAAAAAATATTATGTCTTGTTGACAGTGAATATAAGAAGAAATCTAACAGGTAGTATGACAGAAACCTCTTGATTTATTGATTTTATTTTTCTATTTCCTCTCAACAAAAAACATTGTATAGGAATTGTCATACATTTTCAAATCTAAAAAACCTATATCTGACAAAAAACACTCAAATAGTAAAAATAAGATTTAATGAGATATATCACAATATTCTTCCATAAAAGCTACTTTCAATTGAATATTCTTTTAATTCGTATATGTCTTTGGATAAGAACAGTTGAACAGCTTCAACCATTAAAACCAAATTTTGGTATATTGGTATATATGCTAAATACTACAGTGATTCGAATGAAATTTTATTAAAATAGGGTATGTAAAAAGCAAACAAAAAAGAGTAGACTATAATGACTACTCATTGGCAGTATGCTAGTGTCAGAAACGCGTGATTAGAGATGCCAAGCATAATTTGTCTATTGGTTTGTTCGTACAGCATGTTTGCTGACGATCAGGAAACTGATAGTTGGTGACAAGTCATGACCTAGTTTACGCAGTTAGCTGTCACGGACACGTTGCTGACTGCATCAATTGCGTTCATGAGAACGTTACGAGTTGGCTGACACAGGTAAGACCGATTACCAAGTGATCCGCTGTTCGTACAGAACCTTCTGACTGTTTGATGACTGTAAAATTAGTCAGCAGATAATTTGCCAGTAAATTGTCAGAGCTCAAAATCAAGTACAATCATTATTCGAATGTATAGTGTTTCAGAAGGAAGTAGACAATTTTGGAAAAGTTGGGGTATGATCATTTGCTGTAAACAAGAGTGATCTAGAATTTTTCCTCCAACTGCCCGAATTTTCCTCTATAGAGGAAAACATGGACACTTTCTAGAAAAAATAACAGCACCCAAAAATGTCAAGTAGATTTACTCAGTAAGTCCCCTGCAGTGATTATGCATGAGAAATGTAGAAAGTATTGTGAGTGACTTTTAATAAAACTCAGATAGTAGGGTTTTTGTTCCCTTGTCGGCCAGCCTCGAAGTGTATGCATGGAAAAAAAAAACAAAATAACGAATTCTGGAGATTTTGTGATACAGCTTTTTTTCATGCATGCCCACGGAGAGGGACTGGCCGACTGTTTCTGCTGGGGTGGAACTAATATTTTCCTTAAACAGGGTATTTTAATATGGGCAAAGTTGCGTAGTGAGGTGATCAGCAAAATGTCGCTTAGAAAGCTTTGAAATTAAAAGTACTTCCGGAAAGAAACGTAAAAAATGAAATTTGCCAAAATGGTTTTAATTTTATTTATGGTGGGATTTCAAAATAAATTGCGCATCAACTCTGTCACATTTTCTCCTCTACAAGAGGGCACAATTAGAATTTCAGTATGACGTTTCGTCTCTTGTCGTCCAGCATCAACTTAATTTTTTCTTATAGATATGTCATACATTGACATTGCAAAACCTTAGTTATTCCAGAAGTTCCTAGGTAGGCCTTGAAATTATCAGATTTATTTGTTAGCATAGCAACAGTTTGGAAGACTGTGAAGACCTCTGCTTATTTATGGTTATTATTGTCATTACCATCAATAAAATTTTCATTTCGTATTCAGGTTTCACTATATCTTTTTAATTCCTTATAACTTTGATCCATTAACAAATTTATGGTCAACTAACGAAGTACAACACTGAATTTTGGGTTGAAAAGTCCAATTAAATGTACAAAATTCCAATAGAGTGCCCATATGATAAAACAAAATTGATGATGGAAGTCGAAAGAAGAAATGTCAAATTTAAAATTTGACTACGTCATCTTGTAGACGAGAATAAGTAACAATGACAATATGCAATTTATTTTGAAATCCCATACCAAATAAAGTCAGGAAAAAATAGAGCGATTTTGGGATAAATTTATTGAGCGAAACAAACATCTAATAATTTCAAGGCCTACCTAAGAATTTTTTTAAGTAACTAAGGTTTAGCAACGTCAAAGTATCACGTATTATGCATTTTTTTAATCAAAATTAAAAACTCTATGCATCTGTACAAAAATAATAAAGTTGATGCTAAGGACAAGAAACAAACCGTCATATAGAAATTCTGATTATGCCTCATTGTAGAGGAGAAAACGTGGCACCGTTAATGTGCGATTTATTTTATATATATATATATATATATATATATAAATAAAGTCAGCAAAAGATTAATACGATTTTGTACTCTGGATTTCGAAACTGTGTCAGTTTGTTAACTACCCCATATAAGCGACTTCATATCACTTACAGTTTCCAAAATCTCAATGGTAAGTACCAACTTAGAAACACCCTGTATGACTCTCACTAGAAGAAAGAAGTGAAAATACTACAAGGATTTAATAACGTCTTTGAATAATAAAGGGTGTTATACACTAAAAAGCTAAAACAGCTGAACATAATTACAATTATCAAGATCTGTTTACATAGCTATAAGTTTCACAGAGCTCACAACATGGACAAAAAGAACTGAGACTACGAAAATCCCATAGAAGTAAGACTTAAGTCGCGTAATTTCGCATTTTGCAACTGTAACAAAAATTTTCAAAAGCTTAATGATCACAAAAATCGTATTAATTATGGTTTATGAAAGTTATGTTCTCTATTGTTTGGATTTTTCATACTGTATTCATAATCTTCAGTTTGCCATTACCGGGTCAATAAACAAAATATTGAGCACAAAGGACATTGGCGCTGGCTGATATTTAAAATGGAATTTCATTAAAATTTCTTCTGACGCTGGCTCACCCGAAAATGTTACAAAAACTTGTTTCCATTGAATTGTGGCACTGTTTTCTATATAAAATTCAGGCCTTTGGGTTTTATTTTCTCTTCAGTAGATCTTCAAGGTCTTTTTTTTTTTTTTATATTCCAACTACCACGAAGGCCTAAGGCCTATACACCCAAGGGGTACCGTGGGGCTATAGGGGGATACAGGGGAAAGGGGGGGAACGCCACACGGACTCTGGCGAGGGAACACGTGTGCATGCAACATGCACACATTCTGGCCCCGCCTACGAGATCCGTCGGGTGGTACCTCTGCGCTCGACAGTCAGAGACCGTCTACCACCTACGGACAATCACAATATCCATAGCCAAGAGAAAAATTTCTCCTGGAACGGGACTCGAACCCGCACAGCGCACGGTGACTGATCAGGAGACCGAAGAGTCTACTACTGCGGCCACCGCTGCTGCCTGTCTTCATCTTCTTGGTATATCGCTCAGTTTTTTTTACACCGAAGCAGCCGCGCAGGTGAACGCTACATGCCACCGTACCGCGGCTGCTTTGATGAGCTTAATGAAACTTTGTTATTCCAATTTTTAAACTGCCTGACGTTGTTAGAACTGGGAAAAGCTCCTCGTGTAGATTGTTACACGATCTCGACACCATCGGTACAAAGGAGCAGTCTTATCAGAGAGTTCTAGATGTACGAAGCTCGACACGGTTATGATTGGAGGCCGAAGTCAGGCAGGCACGTCGCGCGGCGACACCATGGAGGAGAGCTCTGAGAAGCAAAGCCCGTTGGCGTAGCTAGATCGTCAAGGGCCCGTCGGTGCGAAGGTGTTCCCAGACCGTCCATTAGAGAATAGTAATCGACCATTAAATGCCTCTTGCGAAGCAATTTTTGGTCATCAAGATAGTTTCGACACACTCTGATACCTGTCACTGGTTGACTGGTGTCCCCTGATCTGTCAGAAGGTTCTGTACAAACAACGGATTAGCTGACGGCAAACAGTCAGAAACTGTACGAACAGGTAACATCTCTCCAATTCTGATTTTGACAGTCACTGAAAAGTTACCGACTACTGTATGAACAAACCACTTATTGTTGGTAGTGTTCAAATTCCCCAGGGATATGTAACACATTTAACGTGTTAATTAGATACATTTTGACTAACGTTCAACAGCTTAGAAAGAATGTATCCAATAAAAATGTGTTCATCTACTGTCTTGGACATTATGGAGGTGTGTCATCAGGGACGCATGGTTTCAGCTTTAGATCAAATGCATACATATTTTTTACATTACAGCAAGGAAAATATTACAACAAAAATTTAGACTGTATTAGAAGATACTTCAAATCATTATGGTTATATGGCATAATGTATATAAATATTTAGAAATCTGAAACCATGTATGTATGTACTTTAACTCTCTAGAACCATTCTTTCATCATAGGAAAAGGGTATTTATTCTAAGTACTTATTGGAATAGACATTATACAGCAATAGTGATACCTGCTGAAAGTAAATTAACATTATAAAAGTGGATGATAAGGACAATGTTATGAGGTGTTACATAGTTTTTCAAACAGTGATCAAGGTATAGTGGTTATGATTGATTCCATGAATACTGGCCACTCTCAGAATATTTCAAAGTAAAGTCAACCAATTTAAAACATCCCTTTGACACTTACTCCCCTTTAGCACTTTTCAGCCTTTTGGCACTGGGTTCGGTCTCTGGCATAGGCGAATCAGGGGACTGAGTCTCTTGTTCTTTCTGTTTGCTCTTCTGAGCTCTATCATACTCATTCAATTTCACAATATCCAGCAAGGCTGCCATTTTTTTCTTTTTATTCTCAATTCTTAACCGTCTCTTGGAGCTTTCTCCTGTCATAGTGTCCCCAGAAATTAACCAGTATCTACGAATTCTCAAATTAGGTTGAGCATCTATTGCTTCAGAATACTTACTTTGAACAAAATTTTATGTTTGAGAATAAAGGAAATCGACACGCTAATGATAATTTTAAAGAAGTCCCGTAACATGCCCTGATATGTTGTAATTTTAAGTGAAATATACGTCACGAAAAAGTTAGACAAAAGAATAGAGAAAATTTGAATGGAGCTTACCTGTGACATTGGCTGACAGTAACAAAAATGGGAGTGAATATGGAAAGCTAATCTATTTGGATATCGCTGGGAATGTAGAAAAAATATTATCAGTATATCAATCTTTGTATTTCACAAATTGCTTTCTCGTATCCGTGCACCGAGTCACTGGGTTTACTTTTAAAATACTCACAAAGGATTTTTCTTGAAGCAGACTATAAGTATTACAATACAGATTTGTTCAAATAAAGGGTTTTATTAAGTTCCAGTTGAATCTGGAAAATTTAGATCTTTATTTTTTAGGTTGTGCGTAAAAATAACCAGACTTTTTCTTAACCTAAGTTAAACTGACACGGAACTAGAAATCACAAAACATCACCCAAAGAGCAAAATTGTGACTCAGAATGTCAACTTATAATACATTGTTATTTGAAAAATGTGAACGCCATATTCTAGGTTATAAGTGTTCAATGATAACAACTACTTGTACTTTCATTATTGTACAACAAAGCCAGCTTACACGTTTGAGGTCGAAAATATGCTGAAGCAATAATTCTTGAAAAACATTCAACCTTCACTATTAGAAACTGTAATAATAGCCAAAAGCATTTCAGATGACCAAATTACAGTAACTAAATTTGAATAGCCTCTTCATAATATAATTTCTTATACTCATGCTGTCTCAGAAAAGAATTCAAAATCCTCATCTTGTTTCACAATCACAATGGATATATAGAGAAGCCCATTCCATGAATATTAAATAAATTTACAAATAGGAAGAATTAACTTACATCCAAACAGCTAAAAAAGGTATATTACTATATTTTACAAAATAGCCAATTACTCATTCATTTGAACATTTGTAAAAAGATAAAATCAATACAATAGGAATGTTGATTATAAATATAAAATACTGAGAATACAATAATAAGTCAGTTAATTTCTGTAGCTTCAGCAAAAACTGAACCAATATTATAATAGTATAAATATGAGCATAAACCGCTTCTTTCCTTCCCTTCCAATCAAAAAATGTGAAAAAGTATAGATGAATATGTGTATTTACTAAAAAAGTGGCTACCTATCTGCAAGATGCTCTGTAATAGCTCTTTGTCTGATAGGTGTGCTATGAGTGCTGTTGCCTCATACGTTGATGCAACCTAGCACCCCAGAAACTCTCCAAATCAAACGCTTTGAAGTCTTTTAGTTGGTGAGCAGTTTCGTCCTTGTAGTACATGACCGAGTTGGAGCCTTTGTCCATCTCTACTTTTGTCCAAGCATCATAGATGTATTTAATGAGATCATCATGTTGGGCATGCACTGGCCCCACCGGCCCCTCATTCACAGGCAGTCGGGGGCCCATGTTACCGTTTCCAGGTCTGCGGTTGTTGCCGTTCATGTGAGGCACTCCGATTCGCGAACCACTGAAATCGTCAACAAAAAATCAATGAAGGTTCTGGTAATCAAAAGTGTGGGATTGCTTACCTCATTTTGATGTTGAAATAGGTGTGAAAGTAAATTTGTTAAAAGTGAGAATGCTCACAGTTATGCAGATTGCAGAATGATTTCAGTCCAAACACAAATAAGGAAATGCTATTTGAAAACAATAAACATAATTATATCAAAAGCTTGTGCAAACGTCAAACACACTTCACTCTTGACAGCCTTCAGACAGGGGTTAGAGATGGGATGGCTGCACCGATGGCTGGTGATCACGCGATCACGGTGATTGATTGAGGTAGCTGACATGACACTGATAGTTCAATCGGTGAGGTTATTCTGTATTGTTATTGTTTACTATTTTGATAAAAATGGAACACCTTGCTTTTGGTACACAAAGGTATTTATGTTTTTTGATATTTATTTACAGATTATATTTCAAATAAAATCATATATTTTTTAGACTGGTACATTTGGATCTTAAAGGTGCTCCCCCAAAAGTTAGTTATTTTGAAAAGGTAAGCAATTTTTGTTGACCCATGTAAAAATATAAAGGGATACAGCTAACATGTGAGGTTGTTTGGCATGAGGTAATTATTTCTATTTTGTAGTTATTTCCTTTCATAAAGGATATTGGCGCAACTGGAATATTATTAGAATGGGAAGACACATTTCCATATACAAAGGAGCTTATCCAAATTGGGGGCCTATCGGTCAGTGCTCAAGCAAATGGAGCTCCATACTCTTTAGAAGAAGCTCACCAAATACTTGAGCTAGGTAAGTTTCTCCTATAACTCTTTGGTTTTATTAGCAAGAGAATAAAAAAGGACAGAACATTTGGAAAAGTATCAATATATATTTATCCAGACATAATTATTTACAGTAGAACCTCGATTATTCGTCAACTTCCGTTATTCGTCACCCATCCCATTTGGCTCAAAAATATGAAATAGTGTGTCGATTAAGAAAAGGAGAAAGCGCTACAGCACTATCAAAAATTTATAATGTTCCCCGAACTACAATTAATGATTTTAAAAAACATGGAGATATCATTGAAAACCATATCAGCAAAATGGAATCAACAGATGGGGATGTCACTCATCGAAAAACGATGAAATTAGCTACCCACAATGAATTAGATGAGGTTGTTTTTTACTGGGCAAACAGCAGCGAAGTCAAGGAATTCCTTTATCAGGCCCAATTATTCAACAAAAAGCATTAGATTTCAATAAAAAATTGCCAAACTCCGATCCATCTTTTAAAGCAAGCACAGGATGGTTGGACAAATTTAAAACTCGACACCGAATAAGGCAGTTATCTATCGAAGGTGAAAAATTAAGAGCTAATAGTGTCAGTGTGGTAGAATATGTTAACAAGCTTCGCGAGGAAATTAAAAAGCGTGGTTTACAAAGAATTCAAGTTTACTACTGTGATGAAACTGGCTTAAATTGGAAGGCGCTTCCTCAAACGACATTAGCTTCATCTTCTGAGACGTCAGCACCTGGCTATAAAGTTCAAAAGGAACGCATAACGGTTATGGTTTGTGCAAATGCTAGTGGTGATCATAGGATTCCGCTGTTGGTCATTGAAAAAGCAAGAAAACCTTGTGCTTTCAAAAACATGGATTTGGGATTATTGCCTGTGAAATATAGTGCCCAAAAAAGTGCATGGATGAGTCAAGATATATTTATTAATTGGTTTAAAACAGGTTTTCTCGCTGAAGTTAAAAAATACTTACGTGAAAATAATCTTCCCGAAGAAGCTATGCTTTTAATGGATGATGCGCCAACTCATCCTATTGAAGAGTCGAAGTCCGAAGATGGTAAAATAACTTGTCACTTTTTGCCTGCAAATACGACATCCTTGATTTAGCCTATGGATCAAGGGGTTATTGAAAGTTTTAAGAGAAGATATCGAAAGGCTTTTATTCAAGGACATCTCTGAAACAGATGCGGACTTAAAACAGTATTAGAAAATGTTTACCATAAAAGATGCCATATGTATTGCCGCTGAAGCTTGGAACAGTATACCTGCAGAAACCTTGAATAAAAGTTGGTATAAATTGTTGCCTACTGAAAACACAGCTATGGATCAGAAAGAAAATCGAACACCTAATATTTCATCCATAAAGCAAACATTTTCATATCTTCCTGGATTTGAAGAAGAAAATGACATTTCTAATTGGTTAGATATGGACAAACAGGATGTAGGATATGATATTTTACCAGACGACGAATTAATTGACCACGTTTTAGAAGCCAATGATCATGAAGATTGTGAAGATCCCTTACCTGATAATCCGGAAGGTAGCATTAGCCATGGGGAAGCTGAGGATATGGTAACAAAAATTATACAATGGTACGAAAATCAAGAGGAAGCAGAACTCGTTCAACTACGCTGCCTTGCAAGAAAAAAAAGCTCCCAAAAGATAAAGCAAAAAAAAACACAGACTTTTTCAAAAAACCATAGTGTTATACATAATTTAGGTTACTGTTTATGACATTATAATGTTTATACATATATGTTTGTTTATTACTTTTTTTGATTAGTATGTTCCCAAGTTGTTTTTAGTTTGTTTTAATAAATTCCTGTCGTTTTCTATTTTCCGTCTTTTTCCCGTATCCGTCGCACCTTGGTCCCGACCCCTGACGGATAATCGAGGTTGGGGGTCAGCATGTTAATTACTGGTTCTAAAATCGTGAAGGAAACAGGCCATGATCACAGTGGAGAAGTTCACCTACTCCAATTGAATCAGGTGGCAGTATTAGTAACCATGGTGCTAAGCAACTGGTGAGATGTATTCTAAGCTCACATCAAAAAAGATGCATGTTCACATCTCGAAAAGTAAAGTCAAGAGACAGTTTCAAAGTAGTGGGTGCATATTTAGACCCCTATTATAATTTGATAACTAGAAATTCATATTTCAAGGGCTACAGCTTGAACTGCATAATGGATTTTTATGTATGAATTTTTGTTGGATTCATCTTAAAGTGACATTATCTGTATTGAAATTTTTAGAAAATAAAATGGCGGATTTTAATAAGTATGTTCAACCTTGGAATTCACATTTCACAGGCTACAGCTTAAACAGCTTGATGGATTTAACATATTGGGTACTGTTTGTCTTACTAGTGTGAGTGAGACTGAAAATAAAATTTGACAAAAATAAAATGGTGGATTTTTGGCAAAAATTTCAAGTTTGATATTTCTATTTCATGGACTACAGCTTAAATGACTTGATGTACTTTGACATTTGAGGTGTCCTTAGATTCATCTTGATAGCAAAATTAAAAATGCATTTTTTCTGTCTTTACAGTCCAGCTTTTTCTATTTAAAAATAGTAATTGATTTTTTCCAGCTGCAGATTGTAATTTGACTGTAATACCATTAGTTCAAACATTTGGACACATGGAATTTGTCTTAAAACACGAACAGTGGCGTGGATTGCGGGAAGTAGAGGCATACCCTAGCTCCATGTGTCCGAGCAATAGTGAAACAATGCCTTTGGTGCGGAGCTTGATAAAGCAAATTGTTGCATTCCATCCGAATATTCAGTATCTCCATATTGGAGGTGATGAGGTGATTGAAAGCACTTACTTAGTATTCAATTTATGAACCATTATAATTTCCTCCCATCATCCACACTCGTAAATATAGTGTTAATAAGAGGTGATTCTGAAAAGAAAAGCGAATATAATACCGGGTGTTTAAAATTCGACCCTCACCATTGGGATCTCGGAATATACGAAGTTGCTTAACGGGGGGCAAAGTTGCGTATTTAGGTAATTAACAAAATGCCGCTAAGAAAGTTGAGAAATTCAAAGTACTTCTGAAGAGAGACAGAAAAAATTATTTATCCCAAAAGAGAGAACAAACCTCTATTTGAAAATCTGTCTCTCTTCGGAAATACTTTGAATTTAGAAACCTTCTAAGCAGCCTTTTGTTAGTTTCCTTAATACGCAACTTTGCCACCATTAAGCGATTCCATACCTCTTACCGTTTCCTAGATCCTAATGATGAGGGTGGAATTTGAAACACCCGGTATATGGGTCCGACAATGCTTCGTTTCTAAGACAAAGGGGTGAAGCTTTTTTGCAGATTACATTTTTCCGTAATAATCATAACATTTTACTTTGTTTTGTTAGAACTTGCTGGAATTCAAGGTACAAACATACATCCGGAAATCTAGATTAAGTTAGATGAAAAACGTATCGGTATATAAAAACCACCGCTGAAAGAAAAGATTTAGGAGATTCAAATGTAGCAATCTAGATGGGTAGAACAATTTCCGGTTCTAAAAAACCTATTTTTCATAAACTCAAACTTTTAGGCGACACATCTTTAGTTGATCAATTTCAATACGATTGACTGAAAGCGTGCTAAGATTTTTTCGCAAAAAAAAACGTATGAAAAGACATTCCAAAAAGATTTTGACTCCTTGTATCTTAACCCATGTTTGTGTTTTTTTGACAGGTATTTTATTAACACTGTGTATTGACAACATTGCACAATCTGATATCAGTGATTATATATTTTTTGCAGATATGGCACATGGGGATATGCCATGCATGTCAAAAAAGGGTACAAACTAGTAAATATGGTAAGGCTGCATTGTACCTGGACCACATCACTGAAGTCGCACAATATATTAAAGATAACTATCCTAATATTAAGATAATTATATGGGATGATATGTTGCGAAACATTGATCTCAATATTTTACAAGGTAATTCTGAACAGATATCTTTAGTTGCATAGTAAGTCGTATAGTTCAGTATTTTATTGCTCCCGCTTTTGGAGTTGAGGACGTGAGTCTTAAGAAATTCATCATTTTAACATAAGTGAGAATAGTGATCGCAGTAAAAACGTTCCTGCAAAAAATAGTGAAAATTCGGATATGCATGGCCGGAAAACAAGAAGTTTTTCCTTGAGCATGAATGGTTTATCAAAATCAGACCTAAAGGAAGTATCGGGACAAGGAACAAAAATTCGCAAAAAGTGAGGAAGATAGTTCAGTGATAACAACGAAGCAAACGAGACTTACGAGCGTAACCCCTACCAGAGTCGCAAATTCCTGGGGCATGCCTTAACGTCGGACAGTCGGTAGATGAGGCCACTTGTTATGATGACGCATTTAAACCGAGAAATCAGTTTTACGAACACACTCATCTGCAAAATAACCACAAGAAAATGCAGAATAATCACACAAAAGAGTAAGGTCTGAAAATATATTTGAAACTGAAAATGTGCATAAGAAACAACGTGATGAAAATTCTGTGTCTGGGCTCATCAATGATAAAGACTCTCAATCAGTAAATAAAGATCTGTTCTAGAGGATATTAGGAACATTTTTAGTCAACGCAATTGCACAAGAGAACAAGGATCAAGTTGTATATATACATATAAATCTGCAAGTGTAACGGAGCTTGAAAAATGGAAACATTGATTTATGCCATTAACTACCAAAATTAGGCTTCAGAATGGGATAGTTGAAAAAAGAAAAAGGCATGCTAAAACTCAGTCAACAAAACAATAGTGAAAAGGCAAATGAAACAGATATATGCATAGGTCACGAAATCAAAAACTGGAGTAGACCATGCAGAAGAAAAATCATAAGAGGAAAAATTGCCAACACCAAAAACAAATAGGAAACACGATATTGTAATTAGGATTTCTAACATAAATGACCCTAAAGAAGCCATATATAATTTTAGAAAGTTTTGATAAAACGCAAGTTGTTAAGTTGATACAGGCTGTAAACAAAATGGGAAAATCACAACTAAAAGAAAGCCAGTCTGGAATGTCAATGTTTCTGATAACAGCAAAGGTTTTTTGAATGAATAATGGAAAAACAACCATGTATTCGGTGCTTGGGTGTGGATTTGATGTTAATTTAAGGAATCGGTAGTCTCAGCTCCTATTTCATCCCCTTAGACGCTATATAACGCGATATCCGCTCGTCTGGATGTCTATTTGTAGTCAACATATTCATAAATTTCAGAATATTACATCGGCAATTTAGTAGAACCAATGATATGGCACTACAACTCCTCGGACACATTCCAATTGGGCGGGGCGCTGTGGGAGAAGTACATCAACATTTTCAACAATGTATGGGCTGCCACGGCTTACAAAGGGGCCACAAGCAGCTGTCAGTTGATTCCTGTAGTCAGATACCACATCAGCAATCACGAAGCTTGGCTGGCGGAACTGGGGATGCATGGTGGAAAAATAATGAATTTCAGGGGTGTGATACTGACAGGATGGTCGAGGTTCGATCACTATGCGACGCTTTGCGAGCTGTTGCCTTGCGGGGTACCGTCGTTGTGCTTGTGTTTGAAGACATGGTTGGATGGAGGGTATACGCAATATATGCATGAGTAAGTTTAACCCGAATTACAAAAACAGTAAGTTCGATAATGAAGACACACAAATACTCGTACATTCAATTCAGGGTCTTAAGGCCGTCTGCCGCGATACAAAATTTTATGCAAATTCTGTAACAAACTTTGGAAAAACGTGTTATACAATTTTAGTCTTATTTATATAAACTCTTATACTTCCCTTAATTTTGTAAGAAATTGATGTCTAAATGCAGCACAGAATTTCGTATTGTGACAGACGAGCATTGGCAGAGTTTTATGCATTTTAAATGTATTTGCGACAAACTCTAAAATTCTAGATCCTGACGTTTTAAGTCACAACAGGAAACCATGTTGCTCATTTCTACTAGTATCTATTGATCCTTGACATTGACATTAATTCTGGCAAAGACGGTTATACTTTAACCTACATTTTTAACGTGCACCTTGCTGAAGTATTACACCGTCACAAATGCACAGTGACTGACAAGTTTTGCAGAAGTCAAGCATGATCAACGAATTTCAATACAAAAGATCGTTTCCCAGCCCTGGTAGTGCTTGGCCGAGCTACAGTAAGAAGTACAACACATACCTACGAAAACAGACGCATCCAGACAAACATCGCTACGGACTCCGTGACAAGGGTGAACCCCGGGGGCATGATGCCCCCCTGGATAAATCAAGATCTATGACTTTTATTGCCACCTCCCCCCAATGCTTTTCAATTGTCACAACATATTTATGTGACGTGTTAATAAGTAAATATTTAAGTGTAATTTCCAATAACAAGCAATGGAAGATACGATTCTTTTGCTTAAGTTATATACCACCAACTCTATTTCCTGCGAAAACAATATCCATAACAGTGTTTCGGAATTCTTCCATCATTAATGTAAATAAACTGTGAAGGTTATTCGAATTTCAATAGTCAAACCCAAAAAAGCAATTTGAAACTGGTTTATTTGTCAGTGACACAGTTTTTATTGTCTGATAAAAAAAGCAAATCATGGGACTGAGGCGGTTTTTGCACTGACCGATTCAATTGATCGCGTGATTTTAATACATTTCTAAATGGTCATTATTTCTGTGTCATTTCAGTATAGTTGGAAAACTCCTAGGTTATGAAGAAAATAGCTTCCCAAATGTGGACATTGTTCAACCAAAACCATGTCTACCTCTTCCACATCTGAGTTTTCCCGGTTGGCAGGTATTTGTTGGTATTGAGTGGTTAGCAAATCTACGTTTGCGATATAAGAACATCATCAATAGTGACCAGTAATTATATTGTTTCCAAAAGTTTGAGCACCTGTAATGCTATCATTTTTAGGATCCTTACATGGCTCAACAGCTGGCAAGTCGCAAATAACTACACGAATCCTATGCAGATTGATGCTATTTTACCTGTGATAGCCGAGTAAGTAGACGTTTACCTGTATGTAGTTAGAGTCCAAGAGTGTTCGAATTTAAAAATGAGTAATAGTAATAATCTTTATTCCAACACTGTACACTCAATTAAAGAACAATACAATTAGAACTAACATAACAAAGACATCAGACATACAGGGAAAACCAAGTTTGTCTGACGGGTTGAGTTCAATGTGCACGAGAGAGAAGCGCGAGAAGTGTGTATCAACAAATGTTAGAAAGAGATTGAAGCTGGCTGAAGAACGAAGTGACTGCGAAGGTCGTGCAATCTTCCGCGTTGCCAATATGTTACACCAGAAAATGATCGCAGATGCTTTTACGATAGGCTAGGTTTCTGTCAAACCCAAAAAGGAGGTATGTCCTAATATTTACCTTAATATTTTCACCAATGCTGATTAAATCAACACATTCTGAGTTATTGTTACATTTTGCGACAGCGAGTGATCGGAAAATGTAACAAATACCATTACGTCATACAAATTATCACTGCTTAGACAAAAACCATGTGGGTACAGACCATAATTGCAGAATTTGTGGCTATCCTGACCATTCATTTCGACCTAAAATGTAGCGCCGATAGGACCGATCCGGAATATGTACGCTCAAAATAAAACCATTATTTGGTGTAGATCAGGGCTGTCCAACATACGGCCCGCGAACTCCTTTCTTGCGGCCCGCTTCATGGTTCATGCATACATCACAAGTATAAATTACTCTCAAATAACGAATATGCATATACCTATTAAAACTCAGTAATAATGTTGTATAGAAAGATTTTATAATGCGGCCCTCCAAACTGCATTTTTTTAAGTGGCCCTTGGGCCACATTAAGTTGGACAGCCCTGGTGTAGATAATAAACTAACGCATATTTTCAACATGCATCTTAATTCAAGGAACTGAACTGAACGTCTATCTCTTTCTAACAATTCTCTCTCGTACACATTGAACTCAAGCCGTGAGATAAATTTGTTTTTTCAGGGTATGTGTGGTATAAAATGCAATAAAATAAATACAAAAAATCATGATAAAACTTTGAATATGGTTACGCAATTACTATATAAAACACTGATAAGAAGCGTACAGTTTAGTAAAACATTATATACGGGCACATAGTAAATCTATAAAAGACAAATAAGGAAAACGGATAAATACCATTTACAGAGCAGCACACCTCAACGTCCCAACACAGCATAGACTGGTCAGAATTATATTAAGATCATCAAAATTATCACAGTCCATGCAAAATTTATCAAAAGGACTGCACAATTGCATAGTCTACTTAAAGGAGCAATATCTCAAATATTTGTCTTGCCGTTTCAGTTGTAAAAAGTTGAAATAAAAAATCACTTTACTAATACGCAAAATGCATAGCGATGTAGTTTTAATAGACAAGAATGTAAAATTATATAAAATTGATTCAAGGAAATGTGTAAAATCTTACTTATACAAAATTGTAGCATCAATGCTAAATAATTCTTCAACAAACTAAAACAGTTTGACAGACTTGCATTCTATGGATGAATTATGATGTAATTATTATTCTTATGTGAGTCTAAGCTAGCCATACATGATAGTTTACTCGTATGACATCGGTTTCCCTGTTTACAAACTCACACTCTTGAGTGTATGCGATTAGAGGATAGCGTCTACAGTTAAGTTTCCCATGACAATCTTTTCAGGTTATTAATAGAAGTAACTTCGATTGAAAACTACATGAAAGTAAATTTGGATCAACTGTATTTCAACCACACGATTGAAGAGTTGATTGGTACATTGATAACCCCTGTGAAGCAACACTTAAGGCAAATAAAAGCAGATTGTGAGACTCAATTGACCTTTGGTTGCAGGGTGAGAGGGTATAAAAAACTGGATCTTTAATGTTTCTATGGATCACATGTGTATTTTAGCTGATAAGTTTTAAGTTCATCCTTGACTAGCTATTTCAGTTTAACTATATAGTATATAGAATTTCGAATATTTTTAAAGAATTTTTTTGCTTCCACTTTAGAGCAAAACATTATTTTTTTTAGTATGGAGTATGTTTTATTATAGGTGACAACAAACGTTTTACACCAGCAATGTGAAAATTAAGAAACCCTATACAATTGTACAAAACTACTGTATGGTTGAATAGTCATACATGATAAGTTTTTCTACAGTCTATTCGGAATGGAATTTTTCAGTTCTCCTTTGTTCTTTCAAGTTGGCTGTGTACCCGATCTGGTGGTTTTTTAGGTAAAACAACAACCAGATCAGTATCTCTGATGGCTTTTAATCGCACCACTCCGCCTGGGCCAAGTCGTTCCTTTTTGTGATTCGATTCTATGGTCTCGATTCCGGCTGCGGAATCGATTCCTTCCATTCGTTCACGACTCCGATTCCTTTTGATCCCAATTCACTGTAAAGTGATTGCAACGCAAGGGAACGAAACATAGTATGTTTTATATACCGTCGGTAATCGAGTCTACCGTAACTTATAAAAAAAATTCGATGTTTTCAATAAATGCAAATCTCAAATTTGCTTCTGGTAGTAAATAGGAACTATTTAATTCAATATTGCTAGTGACAGAAGAAAACAGATTGGGCAATTTGGCGAGATTACACGTCATTTTTGTTGATTGAAGAATGGGATTCACTCCCTGTTCATCATATGTTCATTTTACGTTCACGTTTTAAGATGGGGTTGAGGAGTTCTCACGTAATTAGGAAACATCGATTCTATTCCAAGTGCGTAAAATATTTGTGTTATGTTAAAGTAAAAGCAAGTAAGGACAAAAAGGTGACGTATAAAATATATTTATGGGACATTCCATGTAAAGCGGGCAACGTATAAAAAGTGAAGTTTTAAAATTCGTTTATATTAGGCTTACACCTACTAGATGTAAAAAAGAAAACACGAATTTTCTGTGTATTATGTGCTAAGTTATCGGCTTCTAAAGAATGGCTGGAATTGCAATTGAGATGTGGTCGTAGTATTTTTCCGAATTAAAGACTATTACATTGAGATATTAGTCTTTTTTTAATAAAAAAATCAAATTTAGAATTCATGAAATTAAGGGGTAAACCGGAAGCAAACCTTTCAAAACAAAATTTGGGTGACTGACCCTTTTTTACTCCAAAATATAGTCTAATTTTTTCAACTTAAATATTTTATTTCTGTAACAAAAACGATGTATATGCCGACATTATTTTGTGTTTTACTCTTCTTTAGGACAAAAATTTTCACAAGTAAATGATTCTTAACTTCGTATATGTTCCATTAGCCAAAAAGCTACCGATGGAAATTCTTCCAAAATTTACCTCATCACAATTATTACCGAAACATAGCTAAAGGAAGCCACAAATTGAGTCTTCTTCTTTTTAAACTTAACACCACTTCACGCCAAGTTAACCTGCTTTCTGTAATTTTTGAAAGACAGACAACTTAACACAGACATACGTTTTTATGATGTGTATGTCAAAATATAATCAAAAAACATTTGAAACTTCAACATTTCACATTTATTTGGTATTTGCGTGGAATATAAAACATTGAATTGCTACCAAGCATACATTCAACAATCGTTTATACTCCATAACTTATACCAAATTACATTTTTTCTCATTTAAATCCGCTGAAATCAAAAGCGTTAGCGCGACTATTCTTAGTGAGGTATCAGCATTATTCAAATCTGAGCAGCATCGTTCCTTTCAAACAATGTACAAATCCGATCCGACCCGGTTGGAATTGAAACCACCGGAATCGATTCCCTCCTGAAGAGCAAGTGTATTTTAGAAAGCAACAACTTGAGAGATAGAGAGACTCGCATGGCGGTACCGTGGTGTGTGCCCATGGAGACGACGTGATGCAACCAAAAGCTATAAGAGATACCTTCCTGATTTTGTTGCTGCTCCAATTAAAATGCCACCAGATGGGGTACTAAGGCAGCTTGAGAGAACAAAGGAGAGAGGACCTGTGTAGGATTGAATTTGCCTTTAGCAGTCGATTCTGAAGGTAGGTTGACAGAATGGAGGAGGCGCGGGATTAAATCCCGCCAGCCAGTATTTTTCATATCTCTAAAACTGTCATTTTCAAAAACACACACGCTGATGCGGATGCACTTATCCGAAAAATCGGATTGATTTTGCACTTGACGTTTTTAAATGAACAAATTTTCATTAAAAGAAGCATCTTGTATTTGAAAGGGTGCTTATTGATATAGTTTTGTTTAGACACAATTCCTGTAAAGATATTGTCTACGTTCTTCAAGTATTTTTTGTATTATTTATATACATATATGGAATGAAATGTGATAATATGTGTATTAATTACTATAAATGTATGATATATTTTTAGTAGCTTTCAGTCGAATCATGTGATCTTGGTAAGGTTTATTTCAATAGATGTTATACAAATTTCAAAAATATATGTCTAAAAGAAAATGTGTTTAATTATTACAACATTCGCAGTTCATATTCCAAGTCACTTTGGGAAGCTAAGAAGTATGTCGGTACATATTTTTTGTTTACTTAATTTACTACATCCGTGGTTTGAAAATACGCTTTGTTTTAACATCAGTATATCGACATAGCATCAAGGAACGGTGCTATAAGCGGGGTATTGGGCGCTGAAAATAACTGAAATTTCAAGTTGATCGCACTAATGAAATTATACATTTAAATATTTTACAGCATATGCATTTCAAACGTCCATCAAAATTTATTTTATCATAGTACTTTATTGTTATTCAAAACCCCAAATTTAGGAATTTTTGACATGTTTGTCCAAAATTCACCCATCTTCGAATGTTTACCTTAGTGTTTTTATATCAGTGCATAGCCGTAACAGTTTCTACTCCAAATCGATAATAAAACACACTAAGACATAAGACATAAAAATGAAAGTGTTGTACCAAAGCGCTCACAATAAAACAAAAGTTGATACTAATCAATACACAATTATAATATATATACCACTGCTTTTTATTTTGAAATCCCATCTCAAATGATGTCAAGAAAAAATAAAAACGATTTTGGGAAAAATTCAGTTTTTCTGTCTCTCTCCGGAAATAGTCGGAGATTATCCAAATGCTCAACTTTGCCCCCATTCAACCGACTTCGTATCTTTTATCGTGTTCGAGGTTCCAAAGGTGAGAGTCGAATTTGAAAGACCCGGTATAAACATAGCCCACCGATGAAGGCACGTTTAAGGTGAAATAACTAGGTAAAACAGACATTGTTTATTTTACTCCATCCATATTACATTTTGACAGTATAGTATAAAGTACAACTACCACCGTTGATACTTTCTCGTCTTGGTTCTGAAATACCAGTGGATTAGCTCTAGCACACAACCATTGCTCCACCCGAAGCCAGACTGGATGTGGTATTCACCTGAAATGGACGGGCGTAGCAATATCTTCAATCGCATCTTAAGGAATGTACATGGCAACATTGGTTCGTTACCCAGGTGGCAAAACCCGGAATCAACTCAACTGTCCATTCACGGGCAGTATCAGACCTACGAGGTCTGTAATTTGAGTGATGAGACTGGCAACGTATGGTTAGATCTGGCAACGCTGGAGGCGCCGGGCTTAGAGGGGAGACAGGGAACATGTGATCCGCCTTAAGTACAAGTTTGAACTCGCTCGAGTGAATTTGGTTGTCCGTAGCTTTTTTTGTGAAACAGTTATTTCTATTGGGTTCTAAAAATGAGTGACAAAGCAACGGTGCGCTATAAGGTTTATCTTCAGACTTGGGTACGGGCAACGAAACTCTTGCTAAACAGGCCTATGGAGAGCAAAGAGCCTAGGTTTTTCGGAGGTTTAAGGCATTTTTAGAAAGGAGAGAGGATAGAGTCGATTGAAGATGAACCACGAAGCGGAAGAAGAACAACTGAGTGTTGCAGCACGATAATGCTCCTTGTCACAAAGCAATGTCGATAAACGAGTTTTTGTCCAGTGAATACATTTCCTTATTCATCTAACTTGATTCTTTGTGACTTGTTTTCCGAAGTTGAAAAATCACCTCAAGGGAAATTATTTTGGGGCAGTCGAGAACATTTAATCGGCTGTAACCGACCAGCTGAAGGCTGTTTGAGTATCGGAGTTCCAGCACTGCTATGAGGAGTGGACGAACTAACTCCAGCGATGTGTGGCTTCAGAAGGACGTTATTTTGAGGGTGACAATATAAAATTGTAATTATATTCGAATGAAAATTTTGAAAAAACCAGTCGTATCACTTAATTGCCATGTATGCTCCCTGTACTGCGTGCGCTTTAGAGTATCAGTGGTAAACCATACCACACCATTTATTGACCACATTTGTGTATACACTGTACATGTGAGAACTTACAAACTATTTTATCTAACCGTAATGTTTTTTTTAGCAAACTTTGAGAAGCAGCGATTAGACATATTTTCAAAATTATGTTCTTTATTTGCATTGAGATATAAATCATATAATCTAACGTTAGGTCTATTACTTTTAGTTATATTCAGCCGCGAATATGGATTCCTTAGGTGATTAACATTACGTAGTGCACGAGTGTGTAATTATTCCGAGGTTTGATATTTGTCTAGATTTCTGTGCACATAACATATGTCTTCATATAAATTGGTGGAAGTAGTAATATTTGTAGATATTTGAAGTGGTTTCTGCACTTTGATCTAAAACTTTAATTTGTAATTATCCTCAAAGCTGTTTTCTGTAAACTGAAAGTTTTGTTAGATCCTACTGAATTTCCCCAGAGCATTGTGCCATATGTAATGTGACTATGGAACATGCTGAAATACATCATCCAGAAAATATGACATTCACTAAGCTGCCTAAGAACAAGTAATGGTGTAGATAGTCTAGAATGCAAATAATCAATGTGGGATGTCCAGTTTAGTCTTGTATCGAGTATTATTCCTAGAAGTTATACTGGTTCAGATTTCAGAACCCATCTGTCAGAGGAAAACGTGATACCATATGACTTGTTCTTATTTAGGAATAACTGGTCGCCATTCTTTGGCTTGTTCTAGACTACCCACACCCGTATTCTGGTCAGATTTAGACGGCAAGATTATATCGTCTGCAAATAGGAGGCAGGATCCGTTATCAAGACTCGATGGCAGGTCATTGATATAATTAAAAATATCAGGGGGCAAAATGCTCATCCCTGCGGTACCCCGTTGTAAGTAGGAAAAAGGTCAGAACTCTCTAATTGACAGATACGAACGAAATAGCTCTAGCTGTGTATTTCTTATGGCATAGAATTCTAGTTTTTTTTTCAATAGTATATTTGAATTAGGGCAATCAAATGCTTCCGTCAAGTGACGTATGCTGTATATTGAACACTTTCAGTGATCATGTGACCTCGGAAGATTGTAGTACACATGAGGTAGCATCCTTCCGGCTAAATAAAACGTTTGTTTGATCTTACCGCCTCCTCCAAATTGTCCAGCTTGAGCAGCATTGTATTTTTCAAACATAACCTTATTCTCGTGGAATGCCTTCACATTGGAATTCACCCATTTATGGGCTAGCTCTTTGGCTAGCTCCTGGGCAGTCTCATTGTTACTCTTATGAAGACCTGTAAGCATAATAAATCGTTAAGAATAGCATTGGGTTTTTCAGTTTTTTATTTGAAAATATTTGCTTCCTAAAAGTAGGTACTTATGTTCTGACTGTTTTCAATTTTTACGTTCCACACCATACACTGGGGAGGAAGTATTGTAATCGTGAAAACTTACGAAAATGAGATATGTTTTTTGGATGTTATATAATATGTACATCACGAAAAACCATGTCACTTTACTTCCGTCTGTCTATCGGTCTATCTGTCTGTCTGTCGGTGTGTCTGCCTGTCTGTCCGCTAATCCTTGAACCGCCTATAACTTGGAAAGTAACGCACCGATTTTGATGAATATTTGTAGTGTATTAAAATCGGTTCAGTAGCGGCGGCCCTACAGACAAAAAACAAAATACAAATAAAAATCGCTCAAACTTCGGTTTTCGATGTTTGCAAAGGATCCTGGCCATTTTAAAACGAAATTATAGGTCAAAAATTGATGATGGGAGTTTGTAGGGGGTGGGGGAGGATGTATTGCAATTTTTGTTGTTGATTTGTTAATACACATCCAACCCCGGTAATTCTACGAACTTGTTAGACTTATTTCAGCAATTTTGGCGTGATTGGGAATCAAACATCTACACTTTCCCATTTACAATATTAGTAGGGAAGTAGGGGTTTCTGGGGGTTAGGGCCAGCGAATTCAAACTGGGTAGTTGACTAGTTGGTGCTGCCCTACTTATCGCTTGCTCTGGAGGCCGTTTGAGGCGGAGACCCCGGGACAGCTCTTCATGCTAGTTTGCAACTGAAGAGCTTAAGGGGGAGAGAGGTTGATAGCATGATTCCCAATCATCAATTTTCTCTGCTTTGGCCACCCTTTATGTGGGTGCCTCGGGCAGCTGTTATTTTGTTCTACGACCAATAGCTAACTGACCTATAGTGCATAGATTTTGGTAGGGCGACCATGCATTCGGGTAGTCCCACTGTTGCCCACTAGGATACATTGACGAAGGAACACCGCCGCGAAAGTCGTTGATGCCTTGCTTCATCAAATACTCCGCAGCTCTACCACCCACTTTTTGTCTATCTTCTTCATTGAATGCTCCAGCCCACAATGGTGTAAGATTGCTGGCAAAGAAGAATTTGCGATGTTTGCCTAACTTCAGATCATAGTCGTACCTGGAAAATGATATTCTAACGTCAGATTCCATTAGTAGACCAACAATGAGTTTGATATAGAATTTGATTCAGGTCTGGACGCTGGTTTGCTTATGCATGTGATTTCGATTTGTGCCGCGCGGCAATCCATTTACTTCTTATGTCAATTGGCAAGAAAATACTGTAGTTGCGAAGAATTTTGAATATGAGATATCATGTTTATTGGATGTTACATGACATGTACATCTCGAAAAATTACGCCTACTTGTGTCGCGTTTGTAAAAGTTTTAAGCGGAAAGGGGAAACCTTTGATGTGTGAAATATGTACTGATAGGTGCGTAAAATTACTGGGGTTGGACCGTATAAATATACTGCCACCAACCCCTAACCCCCGACTTCCAACCCTACCAAACCGATTTTCAAAAACTACAAAGAGTTTTCGTTCTTGGCATAGTAGTAACCTTGTTTGAAAATTTCATCGAAATCCGAGCGGTAATTCCCAAATTATATGCGGTTAGGTACGGACCGACAAACAGACCGACGGAAATTCGTGACATGGTTTTTCGGGATGTACATGTCATATAACATCCAGCCCAGTGGCCCACAAATGAGTTACATGTTGAGATTTACCTACCATACTCCATCTTCTTCATTATACAGAACTCTAGTTATGGCCTCTTTCCATTCC